CGGCTCCAGCTCGGGTCTCGCGCGCCCTCACCCACACGGCACCGGCATGCCATGTGTGCTGTGCCGGCATCTTAGTGCATGGGCTAGGGGCGGTGGAAGAACTTCTGGAGCTTGTGTTGGGCGAATTCGGGAAGCTTGTGATGGAGTTGGTGATGCTGGGGCGGAGGCTGTTGCTGGAACTGGGGTGGAGGGGGCGGAGACGGGTGCTGGTGCTGGGGCGGGTGCTGGAACTCCGGGCGGTGTGGTTTGAATCCCTAGTTCATACCATTCCGGAGGTTGTCATATTCTGAATCTTGTTAGTTCCTCTTCATCTTTCGGCCGATGCTGCGCAAAGCTATGCCGCTGCACCGCGCAGGTACTCACGACTGTGGGGGTAGTTCAGCTCGTTCTCGCGCCACTCGAGCTGGCCGAGCTGCTCGCGCACAGTGCGCACGAGGTTGCCGCCAGACTCCTCAGTCTTGTCCGCATCGAGCTCCCACCACATCACACCGCCGAGACCAAGCTGGTTGATGTAGTGCGCCTTCTGCGTCACGATCGGCTGCGTGTCGTAGCTGATCATGGTGCGCTTCTGTGGGTCGTAGCTCCACGACGCGCCGAGGCGGTGGTCGTTGAACTCCTGGGCGCCGGGCTGAGGAAGGGCCTTGTAGTCCCACATGCCGTCCTCCCAAGAGCCCTTGCCAACACCCTTGTACGGCCTGCCCGGGCCGTCAGTGTTGCAGAAGGCGCGGCCGTAAATGGGCATGCCGACGACGAGCTTGTACGGCTGGACGCCGGCACCGAGGTACATCTTGACAGCACGGTCGACACTGTTTCCGTTCGGGTCGTCGTTGTACAGCGCAGCCTGGTGGCCGGCAACCTTGTCCCACGACCCGGCGAACTGATCATCAGCGCACGCTCACAACAGGTATGGAGCTCACGTCGTAGGCCATAAGGTTCCAGAAGTCGAGGACCTGGTCCATCTCCTGGATCTTCAGGATGCCGACCTGCTCAGCACCGCAAGGGGCGGCGACAGTGAGCTGGTACTGGCCGTCCGGACGCCCCTTGCTTCGGGCCAGGTTGACGAGGGCATTGCGGAGCTCGCGGAGGAGGTCAACGTAGCCTTGAGCATCCGAGGCCGACTTCGGGTACTCGTAATCGATCTGCAGGTCAGCGGCGAGCTTCAGTCCAAAAGCTCACATCAAGTCTGACGTCAGCTCTGATCGTCCCAAGCATGAAACTCACCCGTCCAGACCCAGGTCCTCGACCATTTTAACAGCCGAGTTGACAAACGTCTGACGCCACGCGGGCTTGCCAATGTTGGCGAAGTTCTGAGACATCAGCCACAGTGTCATGGGAAAGAGCTCACCGGAGAGAACGACCACCCTCCAATGGACATGAGAATCTTGAGGTTGCGGTTCTGCTTCTTCATGAGGTAGATAGCCTTGAGACAACCGTACATGTTGTTGCCCTGGTCGTTCCACGAGTCGCCTTCGTAGTGGATCTGGACGTCAGCGGCTGTTCACTCGGTGCTTCTGGCAGGTGAGGAATTCGGGGAAGGCAAACCGGTCATTACAGTGCGAGCGCACTATGCACAAGCAATGCTATACCTGTCCACGGCACGACCAACTCACCTCGACGTCCGCCCACTTGTCGCTAAGATGGACCTCGCCCGAGTCCTTGTTCACGTTGGCGAAAGCATAGTTGATGTGTGTGAGGTGCTGCTGCGGGATTTTCTGCGGGGGAAACTTGCGGTCATAGATACCCCTGCGGTCAGTTGCTGTCGGCTGTCGGCGACGCTCACCAGTTCACCTGCGCTCGTCAGCGATGGTGCTTTCAAACGGACACGACGTGAACTTACGAAATATCCAACGTGCTTCTTGCCCTGCATTTCTGTTGCGATAGCGGTGTCGAGATCAGAGCCGATGTCGATAGGGTGATGCAGAGGAGTGGAGGGGAAGAACCAGCTGCGCGCGAGGAAGAAGGCGACGACAGATGTGATGAGAGATAGAAAGAGATAAGTACAGATGAAGGAACGACGTTGATTATGTCTTCTTCGGACTTCAGTCATGCAGTGTAAAAGAAGGAAATGATTGAGAGAAGGTTGTCCCGGATGGTGAGGAGGACTGGTGGGTGTCCGCGGAAGTGCGGCGACGACGTCAGCGATCGGCGTCAATCCTGTGCAACCAGTGCGCGCCTTTGCGGACGCGTCTTGGTATCCAGATCCGGTTCGCCCAGCGCTTCTTTCCAGGGCCAGAAGCGTGCAAACCACGCGAGAATCCTGCTGGGGCACCTTGGCCACTCAGGCGGTGCGATGCCGGCATCGCCCGGTGATTTTCCGACCAATTCACGTGATTGGCTGGTGATGGTCCCACGCGATTGCTTTTTATTGCGACACCCGCAGGTCGCTAAGTTGCTATGGCGGGAACTCGGGGCGCTGGCGGTACGGGGGCGGAAGTAAAGTGTTAGTACCTGGTGGCTGACGAGACATCTCGACAGAATGAAGCGTTACAGATGCGGCCCTGCCGACAAAACCCTGTCTGAATTCAGGTGCAGCGCCGTCCCCTCCAATATCGATCCCCAGAGCCCCTCTGTTCGTGTGCCTCTTGTCTCCAGACGAACCCTCTGCACCAAAACATTCCTTTCCAGTCAACTGTAGTCCGAAACCAAGTTGCAGGGACTCGCCTCCACGGACGATGCGACTCCTCTGCCATTGTGCTGTCGAGCGAGTCGTGGGCCTGTGGGCATGTCCCGGCCTCTGCTGGCTGGCTGGCTCACGCTACTGGCTGCGGGGCGCCTGCGTGCGATCTCATATCGCAGAATGGGATGCGGGGATTCGTTCTTGCCCAGCGTGGCCAGTGGTAGAGTGCCGCCATGGCTGGGTCGAACTGGGTCTAAACAGGCTCGAAAAGCGCCCACGGGCAGGGGCTAAGCTCAATCCAGGTACGACGGGTCGCAGCCTGGGAGGAGCACGACGCACCGTGTGTGCAGCAGCAGACACTAGCCTGATGCGCTGATGCACTCACTCCTCCCATCAAAGTAAACAAACCCGCCCTGCACAGTGCATGGTGCACAGACCCAACCGTGCAATCCATGTCTCACTCCCGCAGTGACGGGCGAGACTCCTCTGCCGGTGTGCCCTCCTCCCACCCACCACCACCGCCACCGTCTCCACCCCGAGTCGACCGCCAGCCCAGCTCCTCGACCGCAAACTCGCATTCCACTAGCCGTTCTGATCGCTACTTTTCAGATTGTCCCGCGTCCACAACATTAACCTCGCCTTTGTCATTCTCAAGCCCTAGGACAAATAAACCGTCGACAGTCCTAGTCGGGACCCTCCAAACTCTACCAGAGACAGAGGACGAACCCACATTCAACGGCTCCCCAGAGACAGGTCATCGGCAATTTAACAACAACAACAATAACAACAACAACCGTCGTCATATCGCAGATCTTTCAGCGTTTCGCATCGACACCTCTGGATCCTCGACACCGACACTACGGCAGTCCCCTCCCCCACAATACGGCGACGACCCGCTGCCGACACAACTCGAGCTCCCTGCCGACAGCAGCCCTACTCCCCACCAGTCCCTTGTTGGTCGCCAGCCGCCATATTTTCTTCATCCACCATCGCCGCCTGGGCTCCCAAAAGAGATGCCCGAGGAGGGTAACTCTTCCGCTGAGGGTTCCTCCTCCGAGGCCCGCTACCCTCATGCACCGGCCGTGAGCATCCCACCAGAGCGGTGGTTCTCACCAAGGCAATCGGACATGCCGCAAACACCTTCATCTGGAAGTCGGATACGTCGTGTGCCAGTACCACTGGAGGACCCCCCATCAATAGCACTGAGTCCACAGGAGCATTCGCCGACTCGAGCAGCCGCTAGGAGTGCTCAGACGACACGACGACTGATCTCACAATGGGAGGAGACAACGTCTGGCCCCTCGACGCCGAGTCGTGTGAGGATGCCTCGCGGAGGACTGTCAACACCAGCACTGTTGGGTTCACCGTCTGGCCTCACTTCCTCACCAGCTCGACGAGCTCTCTCTCCCGCCCTTGCCCCGCCATCCCCGACTCCCTCATCATCACAACGACAATCCTCATCACAGCCGCCGCCGTACCTGACGGACAAGCCTTTGCCGATCCCAACGCCTACGGCCGACTCACCCAGCGCACGGCCGCGGATACCGTCTGCACGGCCCATACCAGCATCAAAGCGCATGCCATGGCCACCGCCAGAGAAATCACGTCAGCAAGTGTCGCGGCCGCCCCCACTGTATTCCATCGACAACCGACCGGTCTCGCCTCCGCCGAATTCGTGGTCTCCGACGGATGCAACCGACAAGAAGCGAAAAGCGCACGACTCTTGGTGGCAGCAACAGGAGACGTCGCCGTCCAAGCGAGGGATCAAGGCTGGAGCTGTCAAGCGCTCACCGTTTAGAGAGCTGAAGGGCGTGTTTGCAGGTTTACGACGGAAAAAGGGCGACATTTCTCCCAAGAGGGCTCGGACATCGCCCCAGAAACTCGGAGCACCGGATGGCGAGGACGAGAGCGAATGGTTCTCACCACCAGCGACGACGTCAAATTTACCAGGTGGCATCGTATTCAAACCCGATCGCATGGGCGACGAGGAGATGGGCGACGCCCAGTCCAATGGCAACGTGAGACAACAATTGTTTGGTACTCAGCTGACTGGTTCCAGTCCCTCAGAAGTTCCCAGGCCATCTTTCTCGAGCCGCTCAGAAGCGGATGGGGTTCATGGCAAACAGCATGGGCGAATCTCACGCGCGATCGACTTGCCATCACCTACGCGCCTGCTTTCAACACACCAGGGCTGCCGGCGCCTTACTCTGCGATTCCCAGGCCATCCATCGATGCACGCCCAAATGTGCAGATCAACATGCGCGACGTCGCCGAGGTGCGATCACTTCGACGCGACGAGATTCCAGGCCGTGGCATCCCTGTGCCTCCGGAAGGCTTCAACACCGAGGTGCTCGAGCTAGTGTTTAATGACGGCTCAAAGCGGTATATGGGAGTTGAAGGGGTGGATGGCCGGCTCAACTGGGTAAGCTCCATTTGGGATGACATCCTCTCCCTGAAACAAGGCAAGATCGACAATCCGATCCCGCCCCCGTCACCCATGTCAACGGCCTTCAATACTGCTGCTCCTTGGCAAGGACCTTCCACTGCTCGCATCTCCGAAGAGCGCGTCTCCGCCTCCAGTCCCGTCGGACAGCCGCAGGTTCAGAAGATCGGTGGTCGATGGGTTGCCTCGCCAGACCTCGAGGTGCCGACGTTACATGGTCGTGGAGGACCTGCCGGCGGTCCCGGGCTCGGTGAGGGCCTGATGGTCCGCTCGCTCCCAACCACACCGCCGCTCGTTCCCGCCGACACGGATAGGAACCGTCACCTGCTCCCGCCTATCTCGCAGGAGCCTTCATTGTCTCTGCGTGGGATGTCCGCCCCTACCACTCCGACAAAGAGCACAATGACGGACGAAGGTATCAGGGCGTTCTCGACGGACCCTACTGCTGACCCGGCTCCTTCTCCTGGCCGAGTGCGACCTCTTCCTGCGCCGCCTCCCACCAGGCCGCCGACACTTCCAGCTTCCTCCATCAGGTCGTTCCAGACGGCACCGTCCCGTGCACCTGCGCCTGCCAGTCTGCGCGAGAGCGTCGTCGCCATGTTCAATGCCCAGAACGACCAGCGAGACCTTCATAGTCCTCGTCGGACTCGCTCTTCGGCCATGGAGGAGCGCATCCGGGCTTGGCAACCCAAGCCAGAGGACCGGCCACCCTCGCGCGCTGCCAGCCATCGGTCAGTAACGAGCGTGTCGAGCTTCAACGACAGTGACCTCAACCCTTCTCGATCGGCCAGTCAGGTGCGACGACCGGACTCGTACATGGCTTCCAACTCTGTCCTGCCCCTGGAGCATCCGCCAAAGGAACTCCACCCTGTACAGGAGGAGGTGTCTCCCCGGGAAAGCCTCAACAGCCACCACGCTGGTAACCCCAGCGAGCGCGCCCCATCGGAGTGGGTTACCCAATTAATGACGACGACTGGACCGGCGCCGGACCCCGTTCGTCCCGCCGCTGCGTGGGGACCCCTCAACGTGAGGAAGGCTCTCCCTGATGACCCGACTGCCAAGGGGCTTCCGGACCTCCCAACCCGTGCCAGAGCCTTTGAGCCCCTCGCTCGCGAGGGAGGACCCCTCTCTGGTGGGCGTCCGATGTCCCGTGGCTCTCGTGGGCCATCGAGGGCGCCGTCACCACCGACAGTACCGGAAGAATCTGAGGAGTCAACAGATCATAAGACCTCTGAGGACTCCAAAGACAATGGTGGCTATCAGCCTCCAGTCCGAACTCTGCGGAACGTCTCTGCTGCTGCTCCGAACGTCCACCCTGCTCCATCCGTTGCTCAGCAGTCCATCATCCCTTCAGCCATTGCGCCCACCATTGCTCCCACGGTCACCGACTCCGAGCGCACGCTTGCTCCCACTATTCCTCCCAGCAAGGTCTCCTCTGTCGAGACAGAGACGCTCATCGCCACTCCCATCCCGAACGCTCTCCTGTATACGCTTCCCGATGTCGAGGAGCCGAACCCGTGGTTATCAGAGGTGGACGAGCCTCAGACCATGGGTCGGGCCCGCTCGCCCAGCCCGACTGCCTCCCGCGTTAGCCGCCGTGACGACGCGCCGACTCCCCGGGCTCGATCCGCCAGCCCCGCACGAGTTAGCCCCGTCCGGACGTACGGCAACGTCGGCCGCTCGAAGGACGGCAAGTCCACGGACGTCACGCCCAAGGCCAAGTCCAGGTCTCAGGACGAGCCTCACTCTCTGTCCCGTGTCACGAGCCCTCTTGGTGGTCCTCTGATCGGCAACCTCATCAGCCCTCTCAGCTCAAGCAACAAGACCAAGACCACCTCGGGCACTCCTGGACGACGGGCATTCGGTACCCCAGGCTCCGGCGCTCCCAGCCCTGCTCGTATGGGCTCTCGTCTCCTCGCCGTTGCGTCAATTTTCGAGCCTGATATCGTCAACCGTGTCGGCAGCACGCATCCCAGCGACTCGAGCGGTTCGAACATCAACGTTGGCCGCATTCCCGCTCCTCGTCCCGGTCCTCTGCGCAGCGTCAACAGCCTGAACAACTTGATCACTGCCGACGAGTCGTCCCGCGAGAACGAGGAGCAGGCACCCGCATACCAGGACGCTTTCAAGGATGCCGAAGACAACAGGCACCCGTTCGAGTTTGATCCGAATCTGACTGAGAAGGAAGCTCTCGCCATGATGGACGAGAAGAAGATGCTCAAGGCGCAGGAAGCCATGCTTCTGGCCCGCGAGCTCCCGTCTCTGCCCTACGATGAAGGAGATGCGTTCGAAGACGCCGACGTCGACGAGACTGCCTCTAGGCTGTACAACCAGAATGGCTACCTGAAGGATATTGGCGCAACGGCACGCACCGGACCTGGGCTGGATGATGCCGAAGCTCCCCAGCGACCCATCTCGCCTGGTATGCGTCTCAATGAGCCATACTTCAACGGTGACTTCCACCGTGGTGGACCGTACTATGTCGAGTACCTTGACCCTCGCGAACTCCTGCCTCCGGATCAGAGGAATCGACCCGTCACGCCTCCCAGCATTGTCAACACAGACGATTATGTCGATCCTCGCCGCGCCACTGTTGAGGATGCCTCTGACGAAGACGGAGCACACGAGTACGCTAGTGACAACGACGTCTACAAGCGCCTTCCCTTTCTCGGGCCCGACATGCCTGACACCACCGACGAGAACTCGATCATCGAGGATGAGGGCTCGTACGTTGACTTCGAGGCCGTCGAGCGGGAGCAAGAGCTGTACAACCGCATGGGCTACCTCAAGGACCTTCCTGCGATCGACTACGAGCGCGACAACCTTCTTCCTCCCGACCGTGCTTCTCTTCTCCTGACAGAGGGCGACGGTGGCAGTTCGGTGTTCGAGTCGGACGAGGACCAGTTCCTGCGCAACCTCCGTAACACGGATTCGTCAGAGAGCCACTCAACAGTCACGACCAACAGCACCGCACCTCCGATTCCTGACAAGGACGTTCCCGGCTTCAAGTATCCTTTGCACCAGGGCATGACCGAGAAGGAGATCATGGATGACCACACGCAAAAGGCACTCGAGGACCCGTTACCGTTCCGCCCGCCGCCGATTCTCCCCATGCGCAACAAGAGCCAGGAAGAGATTGATAGAGACAATCTCCGCCGCCAGATCGACAACGGTACCGTCGTACCTTCCGAGCGCGGCCGCTACGATGAGCCGCCTCGTACCTACGCCAACGTGCCTCTGTCCGAGGGTCGTCCTGTTCACCACCATCACCGCCACCCCGTGCCGCCCATCCCGCAGACGATCAACACCTTCAACCTCCCTGCTCCCCGTCCGGTCCCTGTCGAGGGCCTGCCGTCTCCAGTCATCGGATGGGGCTCGCAGCACGGTGCAGGGTCTGCGGGACGTCGGCCTCCTACGGGCCTCGGCATTGGTGCGCCGCCTCGACCCATCTACTCCCAGCACACGATCCCAGGTACCATGCCCGGAAGTATGCCTGTGGTCGGTTCGATGGCGCACGGCCCGATGCCCGGTCTCGGTCCCTACTCTGGCTATGATGGACGAACAGGCTACGGTCACAGCCGCCGCTCCAGCAGCAGCTCGTCCTCGGGTCACTCGCACAAGTCCAAGAAGTCGCACAAAGGTCTGAAGCGCGGTCTGTTAGGGGTTGCTGCTGGCGCCGCCGCTGGTGCGCTAGCTAAGAAGCTAGTTGACGACCACAAGGACCACGCCGAGCCGCTCGAGTTTGGCAAGAAGACTCCAAACCCGGAGGTTATTAAGATTGTCGAGTCAGACTCCAAGTCGAAGAAGCATGACGACGACCGTCCCTCCAAGCTTGTTGGCAACATGCCCGCGTCCTCTGCGACTCCGGCCGCCGCTGCCGCCGTTCCCGCCGCGGCGATTCCCTGGCTGGGCGGCGGTGCGCCGTCGGTCGCTCCCCCTCCCTCTGTCGCTCCCACGGCTCCTCCGACCGTTGTTCCCTACCCTGTCGCTGCTGTTGCTCCGTCTGTCGCTCCGACTGCTGCTCCCGCTGCAGCGCCGGCTGCTGCACCTGCGGCTGCCCCCGCTGCCAACGTTGCGCCTGCCGCCGCTCCCGCGGCTGCTCCAGCTGCTGCCGCTCCTGCGGCTGCCCAGCCCCCGCCACTACCGCCGCCAACGTGCCCGTCAAAGACAACCCGAAGGGCATTCCCGCGCCACTCATTTTCTCGCGCCCTCCGGCCGAGAGCGCAGGCGGCGGCAGCGGTGGTGGTGAGCCTCCCGTCCGCTCGTACGGCAATATGGCATCCGAGGACGACGCCGGAACCTCCGGCGGCCGGAACCTCCGGCGGTGGTCCAAAGGCCACCCGCAGCATCCTTAGGAAGGGTAGCGGCGGTCCGCCCGTGTCCTCCGTTGCCAACGTTCCCGGTGAGAAGCCTGCCCAGGCTGCCTCCGCTGATAAGCCCGCGAAGGCTGACAGCGGAGGTGGTGGTGGCGGCGGCGGTGGCCTCATGGAGAAAGCCCTTCCCGCCCTCGCCACTGCGGCTGGGGGGCTCGCCGCCGGAGCCATGGCGCACAAGGCACACGACAAGGCCGAGGAGAAGGACGAAAAGAAGGAGTCCAAGGAGGAGAAGAAGGACGCGCCCAACATCGAGCCCAAGGGCACGGCTGCCGCGGTCGAGTACGGCAACATGGCCAAGGGAAAGGATGCCCCGAAGGGCGATGCTCCGAAGGAGGCCGCTAAGGACGCACCGGCTGGTGACAAGCCCAAGGACGCCCCCAAGGACGGCGCTAAGGGCGATGCTCCAAAGGATGCAGCCAAGGACGCTGGCAAGGCCGCCGCAGCCGGAGCTGCTGGTGGTGCTGCTGGTGGCGCTGCTGCGAAGGATGCCCCTAAGGACGGCGGCAAGGGCGGTGACGGCGGCGGCGAGAAGAAGGCGGACCCGATCGCCGACATCTCGACGCAGCTGAACGAGCTCCGTGCCGAAGTCCGCGACCTTGCGGGCAAGATTGGCGGCGGCGGCGCTGACGGTGCCATCCGCCCCGACCTCTCCAAGCGCCTCGACACCATTGCGATGGACATGGCTGGTGTGCAAAGCGCTCTGCAGGCCGTCGAAGCCTCGACTCTCCGACCCCACCCCGAGCTCTCTGAGCGCCTCGACGCGCTCTCGAAGAACATGGCTCCCGGCGAAAAGGCGCTGCCTCCTGCTCCCGGCGATCACGCAGACGGCATTCCCGGCGAGGTGCACCAGAAGCTCGACGCGCTCGCGGTGCTCATCCAGGTTATGCTCCAGCGCCAGAAGGAGCTCGCCGATGTCCAGGACGCAATGGCGGCTGGTAACATGGCTCCTGCCATGGCCAACATTGCAAAGGACGGTCCGGGCGGTGACAAACCCAAGGACGCCGCTGGAGGCGACAAACCGAAGGACGGCGCTGCTAAGGATGCTCCGAAGGATGGTGCCAAGGGCGACGCACCCAAGGAGGGCGCAAAGGAGGCCGTGAAAGAGGCTGCTAAGGCTGCCGCCGCTGGCGCTGCTGGTGGAGCTGCCGGAGCAGCTGCCGCCAAGGACGCTCCGAAGGACGCCAAGGCTGGTGGTGGTGACAAGCCCAAGGATGCCCCTGCTGTGAAGGACGCTCCTAAGGATGCCGCCAAGGGTGGCGACAAGCCCAAGGACGGCGGCGGTGACAAGCCGAAGGATGCGGCCAAGGACGCTCCCAAGGACGGCAAGAAGGAGGAGAAGAAGGACGACAAGCCTGCCGCCGTGCTTGGCAACATGAAGACTGAAGACGGCAAGGGCGGCGACAAGCCGAAGGACGCTGCCAAGGATGCTAAGGGTGGTGACAAGCCCAAAGATGCCCCGAAGGACGGCAAGGACGCTCCGAAGGACGCACCGAAGGACGGCAAGAAGGAGGAGCCGAAGCCCGACAAGCTCGACGAGGTGCACAAGCTGCTCACTGCTCAGAAGGAGGGCAGTGAGGTGCAGCAGAAGCAGATCGGCGACGTTGGCAAGTATCTGGGCGACCTTAACAAGTGGCTTCAGCAGTACTCTGAGAAGGCCGGCGGGGAGCTGGATGGGATGAGCAAGAAAATGAACGGGCTCGTCGACACGGACGACAAGGGCGCGCCCAAGGGTCTCGTTCCGGACATTCACAAGATGCTCGCGGACCAGGCGGAGCAGATCAAGAAGCACGAGAGCGTGTACAAGGAGCTACGCGACATGATGGAGAAGCAGCGTCAGGACCACGAGAACCTCCTGCGTGCTGTCGCGACCGACCTCAGCGCGGAGATCAAGGGCGAGCGCGTGCGTTTCATCGAGGCGATGCAGGCCGCGACGTCGATGAATGTGAACAACCACGTCGAGGAGTTCAAGAAGGCGCTCAGCGGCGAGGTCGCGAAGGAGATGAAGACGCTCGGCGATCTGAAGGAGGAGCAGAAGAATGTCCGCCAGCAGATCAAGGACGCCCTCGCTTTCATTGACAACCAGGGCTTGCCCAAGAAGGACCCGCCGAAGAAGGATGACAAGCCAAAGCCCAAGGACGACAAGCCTAAGGATCCCAAACCCGTCCCGCCCCCGGCTAAGGGCCCCTTCGCCAACATCCTCGTGCCTCCCCCCGCGCCCAAGCCGGACGAGAAGAGACCCTTACCCGCCGCCCCGGCGTAGCGTGCCGGCGCCTGGCCCTGATCGCAAGAAGTCGTAACACCAAGTCCACCAATCCCGCAGACCGTCCCTCGCTCGAGCAGCTCGCGAGACCATACAACACTATTCAAATTCCAAGTTTCCGGTTATCAACAACAAGCACACACCACACACTCTCTCACTCTCATTACTTTCCAGTTGTTACAAGGTTGTAGTATCACTTTCATCACGCTCCACTGTTTTATCAGTTGTCTCTTCTTAACACACACTTTTTACGAATTTTTGGGTCGTAGTTCACACTTTTCTCTTCCATCATTAGTCTCCATTTTAGAATCTACATTTGGTATTTGGTATGGATTGTGGCTTGTAACAATTACGAGCTGGTGCAGGGTTGCAAGGCTGGGACTGACTGGGGACGAGAGCTGCGACTGATGGTACTGACGGGTGGGTGACCGGGTGGAGATGCGCGAAGATGACGTCGCCGGAGGGTCCCTCTTGTTGCCCGAGCGGCGCATCGAAGCTTACGTGCTGACGTGGTTGACCGCGGGCAAAGAGCCTCTCCTATACAGAGAGACTCAGGTACCTGTGGCAGAAGGCAGGCGATCAGGAGGCGCCGCCTCTCATTAGCGAAGAAAGATTTTAGGTGAGTCAGAAGCGAGAGCACGAGGGACCAGCCTGGTGGAACCGAGAAGGTTAGCCGCGGCTATCGTTATCATCTCTTATCTGATTGGACTTGGCCCATCCTCCTCCCCCTAGACCCGCCCCTGTATCGGACAGCAGTTAAGCCAACGTCCGCGGACCGATGGCCTCGGACGTGAACATGGAAGAGGGTGCCGAGGCTTCGGAGTGGTTCCAGGACTGACTGTGCAGGAGCGCAGAGCATGAGCAGGAGTCGGGGCGAGGGTGAATGGCAGACCACCACCACACAGATGGGACCAAGTTACAATCGCGTTATCTACCATGACATTGACGAGAAGTGTGTCGAGTCCAGTACGCGGGTTCGTGCAGAGATTCCGAGGTGGAGCAGATCCAGCGGGAGAACCCCGGCAAATCCCCCCACGCGCACAGGCAGATCTGGAGATCCTCCAAGGCAGAATTCCAACCACTGTTCTGGATATCCGCCTATACTCTCTCTTGTTTGCATTCAGGCAGCTGTGCGGGCCGGGTTGAGACGCAGGTACGCAGACCCCACCATTGTTCCAAACCCGGTGCCTTGGCTGTTGCTCCTTTCGAGGCAGAGGTAGATCTACCGACCGCGGCGGAGCCGTGAGTGGTGAGTGTTGGGGAACGTACGTGCTCGCTTCCTCTGGAGATTTACAAATACCTGGAGCTGTCGCTCTGTCGCTCGCGCAATAGGGCTCTCGGCCTCCGGTGCGATGGGATGTTTGCTCTCGTGTCGCAGACGAGCCGGACCTGTCATGACGTTGCGACTGCGTACGAAGTCTCGACCTCAGCGTCGATCCTTCGTCTCAGCCTCCTTCTGCCGCTATTCAGTGCCGGGATATGGGGGTATGGACAACTCTCCCTGTCAGTCTCGCTCGCGTGCTCAAGTATCCAAGAGCTCGGGATGGAGAAGGGCTCTGGTTATCGGTTAAGCCTGATGGGAGGGTATCTGAACTGGAGGCAATGGGGAACCCCGCCGTGCCCGGAGTATCCATATGTAGCGACACGCGCTCCACGCATCGGGACCTGGGTCGGGTGAGTCGAGGAGGCTTGGACACCTGAGCGTGTTCTTCTATCGGGATCGCCGGACCTTCATCCTCTGTACCTCTGTCTTCACCCTCCGTGCAGAGCTTCCTTCGCCGACAGTTGACAGCCTGATAGAGATAGCGGGCAACTCAGCAAGCGAAGCCGCCACCATTATGCATGATGAACGCCCAGATCTTGATCTAGATCTTAGCGAGGCGTCTGGTTACTACTCCCAACTGCGTCGCTCTCATCCTCCAGAGACTCAGCTGGCTGGTTGGTCAAGTCAACGGAGCCATAGCTAAGCGAACAGTCCAGGGTCTGGACTAATTAAAACGTCAGCGACGATCACTCCTGTGTCCGCGCGTGCGTACTCCCCTTCTCTTTCAACTCTGTTTGCCCTCTGGGCTGGCATTTGTTTGCAGTCGGCACGCATGGCCTGAGGGGCACAACACGGCAGCGGACGGGCACCCGCACACTCAGCAGGCGGAGCCAATCCGAGCCCGAAGAGAGGGGCGAAGGGCACTGTCGATCCCCCCCTTCCTCTGTCTTCCCTCTGGAATGCCAGAGCCAAACCGCGGAAAGAGCCAGTGTCAAAGGGGTGCAGGGCTGCAGACCGCCGGTCACAAGTAGGAGGAGGGAGTGCTCTCCTGATCGAGCAGGAAGCTCTCAATTGTACGTTATCCCAGCAACTCCCGAAGGCCCAATGGCCCGATGCCACTGTGCTCTGCTCTGTCGTGTTGTTGGAAACATGCAGTTGCGAGGGGTGAACGGTGAGGCTGACACGTTTAAGCGCACGGCGCGGCTGCGGATATGCGTCGACCGCTCGCGCTCATCTCCGAGAGCACGAGTGCACGAGTGCGTGCTTTGTGCTTGGCAGTACCGTGCTTCATGGGAACGGGTTTGGGCTCGCTTAGCGAGGTGCCCGACTGCAGATGCCCGTGCAGCACGCTCTCGGTCACGGATGACTCGGTCACCTGCAGCCTGCAGCCATGCAGCCACCTGCATGCCTGCAGCTAGTCACTCGGGCATCGGCATGGCTGCACCATGAGGGTGCGCGGACATGTGGGGCGTGAGTGAGCTAGTGAGGCTGAGTGGAGCCTGGTGGCTAGGAGGCGACAAGCTGCGCATCCTTTGGAATGGCCACTGGTATCATCCTGACATGGTGGTAGGGTTGATTGTCAATTGCGCGACCATGCTTGTATGTCAATTCGCAATCTCGGACATGGCGCCCGCCGTCTGCCGTTCTGGACATGTTGCATGTATCTTGATGTTCCAGTTCCAGTCAGCTCCAGCGGACGCGTGACGAAGGCGTCAGATGGAAAAGGTTCTAGACGCCAGGTGTGAGGCGTGCCATTCTTTAATCGTTGTCATGCTCGGTGTTGCGAGACACACTAATCTGCGCCGCACCGCCGATGGAACGCCGAGTGAGCGCCGAGTGGTCCAGCCCACGGACAGAGTCGACTGCGGACTTTGTTGGAACGAGCGCCGCGAGGTACATTGGGACAGGCCCGGAACGCAGAATTGGTATGGACGGCTTCGGCAGGCGTTGCGCGCGCGCCGTCTGGCAGGACCAGTACCAGTCAGAAGCAGGGACCACGCGTGATCAGGAGACTTCCACGGCCCAGGACCAGAGATCTCCTGAGTTCAACGGTAAAAAGACCTGGACGTGCAGGGGTGCTCCGTGTCATGCTCACCTGAGCCCTGTCAGCCTGACGCGCCTGTTCGCTCAGCCGATCCCCTCAGCCCTTGTCCCAGCCCCGCCAGCAGCCCTGGCTGGAGCGCGACCCTGCCCGCGTCATGGCCCTGCAATCCTCAACCATGCATCTACTCGTCCGACTCTCCAACTCGTCCTCGAGATCCTAGACGCTTGCTCGATATCATCCTCACTTTCACTGTCCTCGTCGCCTCCTGGGTGTCCGATCAGTCTCAGATATCTCAGACGGCGGAGGCTTATCTGCATTCTTCGCGGTGCGACAGCGACAGTCCAAGCCGCGGCCCTTCCACAAACGTCAACACCACATTCCGCAGCATTAGCCGCCCCCGCTCCACTCCCCTCTTCAACACAGCCGGACACCCTCGCCATCATCTCTCTACCGCATAACCCTCCAGCGCAATCGTCACATCCTCTATCACCATCTCCCCGAGTGTCTGCGATAGCCGCGATACTGCCTCTCCTTGGGAGCTAACACGTTATCTAGCAGCCGACAGGGCCGACATTCCTCGCCTACCCCACCTATCTTGAAAACATACCAAGACAACGCGGTGCCGACTGATCTGCTCTGTTCCGACTTGAGCTGGAACTGCAGTCTTCTTCGCTTGCCCTACTTTACATAGATCGCTATAGATCGCATTACGCACGCCGAGACCATCGCGGCGCGCACATTACATACTCACGCCCTCCGTCACTGTTCGGCTTAGCTCAGCCTGTGCTTCCTCTTGCCTTCCTTGCGCAAGCGCCTTCCTCCGCCATCCTCTCAACATCCCCTCTCTCATACCTCACTGCGGACAGTCACTCTCTCCTCTGGACGCGCTGTTGGCAGCGTTAACCGATACCTGCTGCAAAGAACACACCGAGCTGCATTTCGTCGGTGGCGGGATTCCAGAAGACGCAACACCGGCACGCGCAAGAACAAAAGGTCCAAGCCATCGACGCAGGACGCCTCGAACGCCTCATCCGCCTTCCACACTATACCTTGCTCCTAGATCCTTGACCCCCTCTTTGAGTCCACCCCCACGCTCCCACCAGCCAAGGGGTCCAGCGAAGCCACACCGTTATTTCAGACGGCACGGACAATAACCTCTGCAGTCCCACGACCCATCGCGGCCGTCATCACAAGGGAACACGGGCGCCGCAACGTTCCAGCGCTCTCCAGCCTCCTCGGGAGCGTGCTCGAAAGCTCGAAATCTCGAAACCCAGTGTGATCCGGCGTAGGCGGCGTCGGCGGTGGCGCAACTCCAGTTTCACCGCCCAATCACCCTCTGAATACGCTCGCCGTTGGCCGGTGTCGTGAGAGCACCACCTGCGCCCCGCGTCTGCCAGGCTCATCATTGCGCCCCGCTTCCTTCAGTCCACAAGGCGCATACCCCGTCGTAGGCCGTCCCGCCCTCTCCTTCGAACCCCCGCTCAGCGGATCGAAAAAGCACACTCTAGATCTCGGCGATCGGCCGCAGCGGCACCGTTGAGCGCCCCCCACACCTTGTTCACTCTTATCGCCCTCGTAGTCGTTGCATTACCGCATCACTCACAACTCACCTCTACGCCCACTTCGCCACTTGGCTTCGAAGCAGCTGAGCGACCTTCGACTGGCGACACCTAGAAGCCCCCTCCCTTCCCTCATATCACTTGCGCTTTGACCTTTTGTTGTTTTCATTCCAACAACTGAACACCAGTCATGGTCAACCTCGACACTCTGAACTTTGACCAATTTACGTCGTCGGGGCAGCGACCGTCGCAGTCCTCACGTCCCTCGCAGCCGTATATGACGCCACCGTCAGAGCCGACACCACTCGAGGCGTGCGGGTCTGGCTCCGGGTCTACCTCCAAGTCGGGGTCTGGCTCCTCGTCAAGCACCTCACTGCAGCGGCATGACCGCGAGTTCGAACGTCCACAGATTTCGCCTCCGATCGAGCGGCCGATATTGCATACTCCTGCCAAGTACGCCCACGTGCAACATACGGTGAACACGAGTGCAGACCTCGCTGCGCTGTTCCGGTCATATATCCGCGCTCTGAACATGAAGTCGTTCTCGACATTGCGCCTCTTCCTCTCACCAACGTGTACCTGCAACGGCGCCAAGTGGAACAGCGACACCATCCAGGACATGATCGCGCCGGTCTCGACACGGCATAGCACAGGAACGATCGTCATGCTGGTCGCCGACATCTCGCAGCGCGTTGTCGCCACCCGCCTCCAACTGCAATACCAGAGCAACGCGAACATCATCGAGTTCGACAACTTCTTCTACCGCTACGACGATCAGTGGCTAATCGAGGAGATCCGAGGCAACCTACCATGGAACGAGCGTGTGGACCACACCATCCAGGAGAAGCGCTCACGCAGGCGGCATCGCAACCTTCCCTCGCCTCAGCAGTCGGCGCATTACATTCAGCACTCGCCCCAGACATCCCCAGAGACCAACACTTACCAAGCGCTCGCTCCTCCCTCGTAAAACGGCGTGCTCGCCAATGTGAACCGCCGGCTCGACACCCGAAACCGGCGGCTCATGTGTATCTGCCCTTCGCCAGACGACTTTCGCTTCCTCTGTGCATCTCAGGCTAGTCGGTTCGGAGAACCCGGCTTCGTATCCATATGTCACCTGTTTCTTCATCATGTATCCTGTTCTTCGATGGCGAAGTCGCCTCTCGTACCTCGGTGTGACGTCCCTCAGTCCAGATCAGATCGGCGACGCACCCGCGCGCCAAGAAAGAGTTCCGCCCGAAGACACCATCCCCGATGGCCAACTTCTCCGTCATGCCGTGATTGCTGAGATGGATTGCTGACTCGGGGCAAAGGGGTGCCTTGATCGCCCTCTTTAGCTGGAGTAGGAGCTGAAGTGGTACCCGGCCCCTACAGTGCCTCATCGGATGTGCGGAGCAGCAAAGTCGTAGCGTGGGCTTGGCGGTTCTCGACCCACTAGCAGCAAGGCACATCGTGTCCGCGTGTCCACCTTGTCTCGCCTGTCTCGGAGCACACGGTCACGGAAACGACGGAAGCGACGGAACGAAGGCAGCAAGGATGTGTACGTGATCAACAGCTCGTCATGAAGTCCGTGGTCGGAGCAGGAACGATAGAGATTAGGGCTTGACACCGGTCCGCCCGCACTCTGTTCGGGGCAAGATTGCCGCGTGATCGCCGTGCCTTCCATGCATCTGCCCGTGCCTGAAGACGAGCTTTCCCCTGCTTGCTCCAGTTTCTACAAATTCCGAGCTCAGAGTTTGTCTTTCTGGAGGAAGGGTTGGTATTACCTTGCCCCGTGTCCTTATGGCGTTCTCTCACCACGCCCCACGGCAATCCGGAGCGTTTCACGGGCCTTTCTTACACCGAATTCAGCTCCATACCGTCTCGCTTACGCCTGGCTCCATCAGTGTTCTCGGGTTAGGAACCTGCCCGATGTGGACTGGCCGAAGACAAGACCGAAGTGTTAATTACCTAGTCAATCGTCGCGGATTCCATGGATCGTCGGTATGGATTAAAGCTCGGTCTGCGCGAGGGTATTTCCATCCCGATGAGCACAGTCGACCGAAGGGGATCGACCGAGAGTCTCTGGATCGGAGTCGCGTCTAGTCAGCGGGATGATCAGTCATCTTGAGTTCATAAGATCAAACCTTCCGCGGTCGCCATGAAAGCTATACAACAAGAACCGACTCCGCGGGTCGAGTTATCCTCTCGTAAAGGGGACAGTGGCCCCTATGGCCCCTAGGTCGCGGTAACGGGCAAAAGGGCGGGCAAAAAATGAATGCCTTCTACCCGAATCGAACGGGTGACCGTTCCATAGCAAGACTCGAAGAGACACTACTAGTGGAAAATTCTAGCCACTGAACTAAGAAGGCAAAGCTGGTCGCTCATGTCTGCGGAGGGCGCAGCGCGCACGTGACTGGACGTCGCACACGTGAAGCTCGCGTGTTGTCTTTGAATGTTTGTTTATCTCGATCGCTTGTCCCTGAGCTGGTTCTATCAACGGCAAAGTCTGCTCGGGCAGTGACAGCCATAGGCTGCACGCTAGACCTAGTTCCTCCGCATAGAGAGAGTCCATGCCTCACGCTATCTACGCCGCAACGCCGTCGATTCGTTCTGATGAAAGACTGCTGAATAGAACGAAGCACGGGAAACCGAGGCCAGAACGTTGGCATGCAACCTGGACCTTGTTTTGACTCGGTATGCGGCCTCCACCACCCTGCAGGCCCGCTGGAGCGACCCTGGCTGGCCGAGACGCGCCTGTCCTATGGCATTCGCTGCCTTGGCAAGACGCAAGACGCGTCCGACGCTAGCGCTTGATTTCGAGATTTCAGTGACTTCTCGTCTGCGTATGCGCTCGCTGCGACTGCGCATATCAAAGCGGAGCATCGTTGTCTGGCCGTGTCGCGAGCACCTCTTGACCCGGCACTGCTCACACGACAACAGCCTAATGGGCTTAAGCACAGAACAGACAAGCTAATCTGCTTGCCGCCGCGAATAGGAACGGATGTAAACAAAAAGTTGGACCGCTGCCGCTGTCCCTCGCCGGCTGTGGGACTATGGACTAGTGGTACTGATAGCTGGTACGCTGCAACCAGCCGGTGGCGGCACCTGACCCTGGGCGTAACTGGCGTCCTTGGTCCTGGCGTCGGGCGTCTTTCGTGCTTCACTTGCGATCTCTGATCACAACAACCACCCCTTCCTCACTTGACTTGTACCGATACCCCACAACATCTCCGACTGCATACACCGGCTCGCGTACCCCAGTCTTTCGATCTGTTTATACCCTCGCGCGGCTATTGTTGCGCGACCTTGCTTCGATCACCCATCACACTTGCGATCGCGCGACTAAGAGCGTCACTTCCCCGCCGCTCACTCTTTTTCACGACACACTGCGATCCCTTCACCTCCTTCCCTCCCTCTTACTCAACCTGCGCAACCTCACCTACACTCCGACACTGCGCGCCGGCCGAGCCCGACGAGCCCGACCATGTCGCCGCCGCCGTCCAAGGCCGTAATCGAGCCAACAACGCCTTCCCAGCGCGACGCTTCCTCTTCCTCCGCCGATAATGACGACGATTCCCCACAGCGTCCGTTCGACATTGCAGCCCGACTAGGGCTCGACGTATTCGGACAGCCCGACAGCCCGAGTGCGAGCTTGATGCTGACGCGGACGGCTGAGACGCTGCACGGCCTGTCGCAACAGCTGGCCGAGCTCAACCTCGATGAGCCGGCTTCGATTGTGCGGTGCTGCTGCGGGTCCAAGGCCGAGTGCCCCTCGTCGGCCGCGCGCGAGCGCTGGGAGGCAAAGCTCAAGCTTAGCGGAGGTACGTGCCCCTGCGCCCCAGGTGATCCAGGTGACAGACGACTAACCCATGGTTTCAGAGATTGGACACGCCCTGCTGCAGCGCTACGAGGCCCTGGAGAGGAAGTACAAGCGCCTCGAGCACAACTACGAACTCCAGCGCAAGGCGCTCGCAGACTCATTACGGCACGTCGCAAACCTTGAGCGCGCGAACAATACACACATGTCCAAGTTTGCCGATCTGACGCACTCCTACGAGGCACTCGAGAAGGTGAGTTGAGAGTGAGGTTGCGGTCGGTCGAGCTGTGCGCCAGATCGCACTGATAAGACATGACGCACACACCGCACATCCCCACAGACAGATTTTCGGCTGACACCCGCCCAGCGCTACGTCCAAGCGACACACTCGCAGAGTCTCACTCAACAGTCACTGTCTCACGTCCGCTCCGAGCTCGCGAAATGCCGCCAGACGGCCAACGCCCAGACGATCGCCCTCGCCGCTAGCGGCGGAATAGAGCAGCGTCTTGCAGAGGCAGAGAGAAGATATGAAGACACCCGTGACTTACAACACGCTGAGTCCCGCAAGCTCAAGGAGCAGCTCAAGTGGCGAGCAATGGCAGAGGACAGGATAGGTGAGTTATCGAATGTAGCCCAGCCTAACTCCATACAGCGGACCTGGAGTCACAGTTGACGGCGTCGGCACGAGAGATCGATGAGATCAAGACCGCACGCCAGAGGGACGCCCAGGAGCTGCTTGCCAATGCAAAGGAGCGGCTCGAGTCGCTGCATTCAGAGGTGAGTTAAGTACTGCAGACCGGTAGCTGACCTGCAGCTCTCCGACACCTTCCAGACGTCTTCCCCGTCAGAGACGCCAGAGTACCAGCGTACGCTCGAGGACCTTGTTGCGACCAACACTCTTTTGAAGCACGACACATCCGAACTAGCCCACACTCTTTCCCAGACGATGGACGAAAACCGTGCGCTGCGAGAGGAACTCGAGGAACTCCGCAGCAGCCGGGCCCCTCGCTCCCGACCGCTGTCGATGGAAATCCGACCAATGCTGACCTCTAACAAGGGCCACATGCGGACCGGCTCCATCCCTGCAACAAGCTCCGAGCGCGCCCATGCGCGTGTTTCAAGTGCTATCGTATCGGAGGCGAATTGGGGACACTTCCGACGAGGTTCTGTGGCGCCCTCCTTCACGTCTACGTCGACCACGGACGGCCCTAGCATCTCCTCTCCTGGAAACGGGATCGAGTACAGCTCCTTTTCCTCACCCATGAACGGCGAGAGACCCATGAGCCCTGACATGAGGGTCAGCCCGAGCGTGCGCCACCGCTCCTCGATCTCGAGCACGGGCGGTATCCCTTACATCTCCAATGGTGTCGCCAAGAGCAAGGGGCCGCGCCCACTCTCGTTACGCTCGAACAGCGACAGGCGTAACCTGACGAAGCGCTCGATGGGCGTCAGCGAGGCGATCAACGAGTGGCCGGCCGACGATGAGAATGGTGCTTCGAACGACCCGACGAGCGGGGAAGAGCCTCCTTCCCCCGATACCGATACATTCCGTCACACGGCGAGCAGGAAGCGAACATCTGTGTTGCTTCCTCGCATGACATCGCCCATGGGGCACTACGACAGTAACTCGAGCGGGAACGGCGCCTCGCCCTCGGAGAAGACAAGTGGGACGACCGACCTCGACCACAAGCGAGTCAATCGCCGCACGCTTTTACTGCTCAGTCGCTCTACCGGAGTCCAGACTGATCCCACGGATGCCGAGGAGACGCCAAAGTCCCAGCGGCGCCCGAGTCACAACTCTGAGCCGTCTGTGGCTTTATCTGAGACGCCTGCGGGTCACTCAGAGACGTCTTCCTTACTCGGCATGTCCACGTCCGATCGCAAAGGCGGCGTGCCCCAGCTCACCGATTTGCTGGAGTACCTGTCCAAGATGCTGACGCAATTACGTGGCGTCGATATCCCGACACTGAATCGCCGTCTCAAGAAGCAGCACCTCCCTGGCGATGTCGGGCATTTGTCGCGATCGACGATCGCGAACCTGCAGACTGAAGTGGCGGAGCTGCGCCACCGGTTCCGCTCGTTACTAGAAGTCAGCGATGTCAGCCGTCGTGAGATGACCCTCCTGCTCAAGCTCTTGAAGGATGTCTTCTCCGACGTTCTTGAGCTCCAAAACGTCGTGAACGCTGTGACGATCGATCCGAAGCTCGCGAAGAAGCTCCGCCGCGAGGCATTCGCGGACCCAGACGCCCCGCCCGAGACGACCTCAGGTCTGGGCTGGATCGCGGCCCCGCTGACGAGCTTGTTTACGGCTGCGCAGAAGCCGGCCGAGGCACCCGTCGTGCCTGCGACTCCCTCGCGAGACAGGATCATCACACCCCCGGCGCCACCTACACGAGCGGCACCGAAGCAGCAAGCGTCGACGTCTGCGACAACAACACACATCAGCGTCGAGTTCGGCAGCTCTGGCCCCGTGCGCCGTGCGCTGCCAGCGCTGTCGCAGTCTGTCTCGGACACGTCCTCTGTCGCGAGCCGGTCCGTGTCCGCGCCCATTACGGCCGGGTCGGCACGTGTGCGCTCGCGCGCGTCGCGCTCCGACCTCATGGGCATCTTTGCTGGTGCGCAGCCGTCGGGTGTGTCACCTGCCGTGCGTGCGCGCGTGCGCCATGCGTCGAGCCAGTACTTTGGGCCGTCCGATCGAAGAATCTTCTCGGAGCCCAGGGAGCGGCTGTCGACCATCGTGGACGCGGTGTTGGACCCGGGCGAAGGCGAGGAAGATGTGATTCCCGGAGACTACGAGCCGCCCCTGCTCGAGCGCACACTGCGCCCACGCGGCCTCTCGGACAGCAGTATCCGCAGTTCTACCCTCGTCGAGCAGCCCGAAACGAGCCTTCTCGGCTCAGGCATAGGCTTCTTATCCAAGGGGCTGTACAAAATCGGCGAGGCAGCTTTATCCTCGTCGGCAGTCGACACAACACCAGCAACAGCATCAGCTCAGACGAAGAGCACCCAGCATCTCGGCTTAGGCCAGCCGCGCCGCCCGCCCCTCAGCTCAAAGGGGTCGGACAGCACCCCGGCCCTTTCTATACCCACAACGGCACCGTCGACAGCCGTCTCGCTCGGTACGTCACCAGGCACGCTCAAACGCGACTTTGATGACGAGGACGAGATCGTCATCGGCGGCGTCCTCCTCTCTGGAGGCGTCGGTACGCCCATCGTAGGCACTATACCCAAGGCGTCCCAATGGGGCATGTAAGCTTATGACATGTAGTGATTATCCTATGCTACAGTACATCCTGAGCGAGCGAGGCAAGCGCACGATGGTGAATGCTGATGATGCGAGGCGAGGCCGCCGTCGAAATGCTGAAAGAGTGCGAAAATGAAGTGAAGAGGGAGTACCCGGAAGTGTTGGTGGAAACGAAGTCGGATGGAAGAAATACCGGAAGACCTGCGCAAGGACATCAGGTGTCGATACGGGCGTGCGTTGGTGTGCGGGCGAGGAGCTGATTATGACGCCTTGGCCGCCTCAGCCTCAGCAGCCTTGCGCAACTTCTGTCGTCGCTTCTTCTCACGTTTCCGTTCCGCCTTGCTGAGGACCAGCTCGTCGTCCTTCTTCTCCTCGGTCTCATCGTCGCTATCGTCACGTGGCCGCTTGCCAAGACTCGTTGGCGGTGACGGCTCGTCCTTCTCCTCGCTCTTCTCCTCGGCACTCGTATCAGTGCTGTCGGCGCTGGCAGCGGCCATCTTCGCTAGGATTGCGGGGTGGACCTTCTCCTCCGCCCCGCTCTTCTTCAAGAGCGCAGGGTGAACCTTCGTCTCCTTCTTCGCAAGCGCGGGATGCACCTTTCCCTTACCCGCGAATGGGTCCTTGCTCTTCTTGTTCGTCTTGATCGATCGCGTCCGACTCTCAGCCTCCTCCTCGCTATCTTCCTCATCCCTTCCAGCTCCCGCAGCTGTGGACTCCTCGGCATTCTTCCGCTTCTTCAGTTTCTGCTCCAGCACACTGAGACCGGCGCGCTGGTTCTTAAACTTGGCTCCGAGGGCTGCATCCTCGAGCGCTGCGTGGCCCAGACCTAGACGTTGCGCGCGGTCGGCGGAGGAACGGAGGGCGGATTCCCACTCGGCCGCTTTCGAGGATTCGGGCTGGCTGACGCCGAAGTTTGCCGGAAGCCAGGAGTCGACGTCGGCGTGGAAGAGCGTCGCGGAGAGGGTGAGCGACTCGGAGGTCGGGACTGTTGGGTCGGGCATCTTGATCTGCTTCGCTCTCTCTGTGCACTTGCAGTTGTTCCTTTGCTGGTATCGGGTCCGGCGGATCGAGATCCCAGTCGCAGGTTCGTGGTCCCTCACGGATTTTGATGACAGCCGTTTTCCGGATTAGCCTAGCGTCCCCTCCAGCTACCTGTCTCCTTCGGTGGTCGTCGTCTCGTCGTCGCTCGTGTTTGGGCGCGGCTCGCGAGTTCACGGATGCATGAGAGCAAGAGGTCGAGAGATGGCCAGAAATTACGCACAGTGGCAAATCACAGGCACAGCGACGGCCAGGAACACGGTGCCACATACACGGTGAAAAGCTGGGGTGCGGCCGGTGAGTCCCTGAGCCTGCGAGCCGCCCAGCCAGGCCGAGGGGCTCATTTTGAGTCTCCAACTTCTCAGCAGGCTCGAAACCCAGTCCGAGTCCGGCGTCCGCTTGCTTGTTGCTTCCACCACCCTTTCCCAACACCCCGACCGGCCCGCCTCCTCTGTTGACCGACCATGGCCGCCATCAACGAAAAGACCACGCTCCAGCAGGACCCCTTGTTCGCCGCCTCGGGTGCGCCCGGCGCCGTCCCCGCCCCCGCTGCTGCTCCGTCAGGCGGCTCGGACTACTACAACGCCTTCACCAGCGTCTTCGACCCCGTCTCCGCCCCCCTTGCCGACACCATGAACCGCTTCCACACCTGGAAGGAGAACATGGGCCTCATCCAGCCCGGCACCGTTGAGAACCTCACCCGCCCGGTGTCCAGTGAGTTTGCGACTGGCAATGTTTCCGACTTTTCGGCGGACCGGAAAAATGACGCTATCGTCATGCTGGGATCTGGATCGTGCTCGGGAACTCTGTGCTGGACAACGAGTGCACCGAGAGTGTACCGGGACATGTTTGTTTGTTTTCTCGAGGACTTTTTGATGCTTTATGACAGCTATGACGGAAGCGTCAAACCAAGATACCAGGACCGGTTTGCCGTCGGACATTGTTTTTTTCGATGACCCGAGTGAGACGAGACATGGAGCTGACATCACCTCGCAGCCACCCTCATGAACAACTTCTTCTTCGAGGGAATGCGCGCCGATCTGTCCAAGATCGTCTCGCCGAACCCCGCTTTCCAGATCTCGCATGCGTTCGCCGTTGGACCCCAGAAGAACAACTACACGTTCGGCGCCCTCTTCGCCAACGACAAGACGTTCCTCCACGGACAGTTTGAGCCCTCGACTGGCGGCGTCAACATGCGCGCGAACCAGACCTGGTCGGCCACTGACATCACCAAGATCCAGGGCCAGCTCTCGTCCGCCCCCGGCCAGACCATGTTCCAGATCGAGCACGACCACCTCGGCCCCCACTACTCGCTCAACCTCAAGTCGATCAACCCCTCCCCGCTCGACTTCACCGGTCTCCACTTTGTCTCCCTCCTCCACTCGTTCACCTCCCGCCTGTCGCTCGGCTTTGAGACGATCATCCAGCGCACGTCGCCGGCCGAGACGATCCCCGCCACCTCGTGGCTGCTCAAGTACACTTCGCAGCCGACCGCCGCCCAGTCTGTTGAGAACCCGATGACGATGCCGACCGCTCACGGAGCGACGAGCGGCATCCCCTTCGTTCCCTCGTGGACGGCGACTGCCCAGCTCCAACCGACCGGCAACGTTCAGGCTACCTACTACCACCGCCTCAGCGACAAGGTCGACGTCGCCCTCGACTTCCAGACCATGTTCCAGCCCGCCTCCTTCATGGGCCCCGCCAAGCGCGACGCCCTCTGCACCCTCGGCGCCAAGTACGAGTTCCGCATGGCCACGCTCCGCACCCAGATCGACTCGGCGGGCAAGGTCGGCATGCTCCTCGAGCAGCGCATTGCCCCCACCTTCTCCTTCCTCATCGGCGGAGAACTCGACCACGCCAAGAACACGTCCAGGTTCGGCTTCGGCATCATGATCGAGTCCACCACCATGACCCCCGAGGAGATGATGGCCGCGGGCATGATCCCCCCTCAGTAAGTGCGAGCAGAGCGCAGTGAGCGCCGGCCCGCACACTGAAAAACGGCCGACGCAGCTAGCTAGGTGTGTGATAGGCGCGGGGGCTCGAGGTGTCGCCCCTGCGCATCAGTAGACGGACATCTCTCCACGACTTGTATCTCAAGCATTGATGCACTATTCAATATCCACTGCCCCGAGCGGCAACGGCGAGCGAAGCGAGCTGTGAGAATACTTTCTCACGGCCGCCCCCACTTCCGCCAGCATCACAGAAACGAAGGTCTGCAAGCATCAAGCCCAGAAGACTTCATTCGCCCAAAGGCGCTACTTTTGAACTACTGACATAAAACTAACAACAGGCCCGCTTAGATGGAGCAAGCGCCAAAGTTGTTGTTGTCCTCGCCGCTGTGGGTAATGACGGCAGTGAACTCGCCCTGCTCGTTGAAGATGACGCGGTCGGCACCAGGCGAGCCACCAGCGTACACGTTGAACCCGCGCATGATCGGGAACTCGTACCAGGGGCCCTCGGTCTCGAAGTCGAAGCCCTCGCGGTTGTTGTACTGGTGGGGGTAGTTGTCTGCTGTTAGCCCGGAGCGAGCGAGGCGAGCGGAGAGATGGCGCGAGCTGACACAGTTTGAGGGTCGTCCTGGCTAAGCTCGAGGAGGCGACCTCCGGCCGCCTATCTATGTACTCACGGATAGTCTTGCCCTCCTCGTGCAGGGAGTAGCCCTTCGCGACGGCCGCGTCAATGGTGCGCTGGAAGTAGCACACGTCCGAGCACTGGTAGGCGCACGCCTCACGGGCGAAGGGGGCGGCAGCGGCCGATGCGGCGAGGAAGAGGGCGGCGATGACCTGTGCATTAGCATATTGCTCTGGGGGGAAGACAGGGGACACACCTTGGTGAAAAGCATGACGAGTTTTGGGCGGCTGGTACGAGCGTGAGAGGGGGTCCAGGAAGGTGCTGGCCGGCTCTTCTTATGTAGTTTCTTCCGGAGCAACCCCCAGACCTTCCGAGGAGTTCACAAACGTGCACTTGGTGGATGCGGAATGAGCAGCCTAGTGTTTAGTGCTGAGGACCCACTCGACAATCTCGACGGACAGCTGGTGCGCAGTAATCTCAACGACGGGCTCATGGGTAAGTACTTCGGATACTTGCCCGCGATACGCGAGCGCAAGAAGCGCATGGAGCCGCGGAGCGGCCGGAAGATCAAGCCAGTTCGGCGCCGGGCACAAGGTGCCTCGGAATGGAGCACGAGGAGCATGAGGGACAATCAAGGGCCCCGAAACGAAGCTTCAGAAGCCCACACTTGCCGCGAGCGTGCGCGAGTAGGAGCCACAAGATCGGTAACCACGTTCGAAGCTTGAGGCTCGCTAGCACCATTGAGACCCTCGATCGGGGTAATGTCTCCTATCTCCCGGTGACTTAAAGTCGCCGTTCATGTTTCTGTAAGGGTTGTGGGACAGGAGGTGTCGGAAGAGAGGTCTACTGTAGAGAGGGCTGGGCGTGGGTCCGTCACACTGAAAGCGCAGGAGCACGGAGCATGTGATGCTCCAGTCGCCGATGTTCGGATTCACGTTTGGAGGCGTTCTCAACTCTGACACAGCGAGATCAGGAGTTTTGCCCGTGTGTTGGTGTCTTTGGCCCCATGGATCTCCTCATCGGTGGGGCCTTCGGTCGAGATTCACGTCCTTGTTGCGAGGTACGCATTGCTCCACCCCTCCTTTGTCGTCGTGTGTGTCAGCAAACAGTTGTTGGTGGGCATGGAGGGAGCCATCTCCTTCACATTGCGAGTGAAGCGAAAGATTCTGCAGGATCAGAACGCCGCTCGGAAAAAAGAGCACCATGCGTTTCAGTCAGGTTAAGTTTGGCCGTCTGGACGTCTGTGACTGCTAGAATTAGCAGCAGAGTTCAGCAGGAATCGTCTCTTGCGAGCGCACGGACATCCACGGCCAACCATGGGCGATATCGTCCACGGCGACCAAGACGCAGGCGTATCAGACGCTATCTGTCAGTCAATCTTCACCCGCGGATCGCGGATTGATGTTGCTGCGCAGTGTTATAGCCCAAGAGCTGATTACGAGAGTACGGTCTGTAGTGGTACTATCGGGTGGAATCGAGGGCGTAAGGTGCGTCGCTCAATGAGACAGAAACTTCACACGTTGCTTAATCTCGCAGGTGACTGGTCCTAAAACATCTCGGAGCGATTGCCGGCCGTGCTGATGATCGGGGCGATGAAGGAATGGAGTCATGTGTTTGTTTGTACGATCCCTAAGTTGAAGCTATATAAGGCGCTCAAGGGTTGCTTCTCTCCAACTTCTCCCCTGCTCGTTATGTCTTTTCACGAAGAACACCATGTGCCTTCAGCAGCTTCCATGTCACCCCTCCACATCCCCTCACAGGCACCTCGTGTTTGTCGTGGCACGGTCCGAAGTCCGGGAGCCCCAGCTGTCAACCATACTACATAGACATCCCGCGGAACATCCGGCGAACGTGTCCCGACTACGGGCCGTGTTCCGGTCGACGCGCACGCTGTTCCAGCTGGAAATAACTGACACTGGGACTAGGCGCGCTCACCACGGCGTGCACGGCGAGAAATCCGAAGCAAGAAGTGGGATGAGTCGAGCGTCGGGCGAATCATGTGACTTGGTTGCGTGCTAGCGCGTGGGTGGCACGCATGGTGTAGGCGGCCTTATCCGATGCTCGGGGCCTGGGACGATAAGGTGCCTTCCCCCGCGCCTGCATATCAATCGGCGACCTCGGCGGTCACTGTCACAGCCCTCACCGCCTTCTCCCCAGCCCTTCGAGAGCACCTCGCTGGAACCCATTCAATATCCCCAGCTGACATCACCTTTATAACCCCCCACCCGCGGCTCAACACCATGGGCTCCGCTTACTCCACTAACAAGTCCGCCATGACCAACACTGTAGAGACCATCGACGAGAAGAAGCAGTATCTCGCCGACCAGAAGGCTGCCCTTCAGCGTGCGCGCTCCGCTTCTCTCGACGCCAGCGCGGAGGCTGTCCCCGAGCTCACGGCTGACGTGTGCAACAAGTGGGACAAGGATCTCGAGCAGGTGAGCTAGCGGCTACCGACCTGAGCTGACGATGCAGGATGCCCGTTTCCAGCTCGCCCGACTCATCCTCACGAACAACGACCCCATCGCCACCCTGAAGCGTCGCGACGCTGTCATCGACGACGAGAAAGTCTTCAACGTCAACCTCAAGGGCACTGGCGACAAGGGGCAGTATCCCGGTCCTCGTGTGAACCAGGCGTCCTCTGGCCGTTGCTGGCTGTTCGCTACCAGTGAGTACACGATAATGGTGATTTGCCACCCGGATCAGGTGTCTTCCCCTGACAATGCGTGACGGGTATGCCCCAAGTGGGCGCAGCTGGCCTACGCTGAACTTTAGCTGACAGCAGCCAACGTGCTCCGCTACAATGTCATCGAGGTGCTTAAGCTCGGCGACTTCCAGCTGTCGCAGAGCTACCTGTACTTCTACGACAAGCTCGAGAAGGCCAACTTCTACCTCGAGACTATGCTCGAGCTCGTCGATGAGCCGATCGAGGGCCGTCTCGTCAGCTTCCTGAACCAGGCGCCCGTCAACGATGGTGGCCAGTGGGACATGGCCTACAATGTTGTCGAGAAGTACGGCATCATCCCTCACGCCCTTTACCCCGACGCCTTCTCCGCGACTGCCTCGAGCCGCATGAACTGGGTCCTGACCGCCAAGCTTCGCGAGTTTGCGCTTGATCTGCGCAAGCTCTCCAAGACTGCCAGCAAGGAGCAGCTGGCCAAGGTGAAGGCGTCGCAGATGCGCGAGATCTACCAGACGCTGTGCATCACGCTCGGCACCCCGCCCAAGAACGATGACAAGCTCACCTGGAACTACTACGACAAGGAGAACAAGTTCCACTCGTGGAGCGGCACGCCGCTCGAGTTCTACGACCAGTTCGGCAAGCGCAAGGGCATGGACCCCAAGGACTCATTCTCGCTCATCAACGACCCGCGCAACGAGTACGGCAAGCTGTACACTGTCAAGCGCCTCGGCAACGTCTGGAAGGGCCCGAATGTGCGCTACGTCAATGCGCCGATCGAGGTCGTCGAGGACGCTGTCATTGCGGGCATCAAGGCGAACACGCCGCTCTTCTTCGGCTGCGACGTCGGCAAGTTCTCCGAGTCCAAGAACGGTATCATGGACACGCGTCTGTACGACCTCGGCGCTGCCTTCGGTTACGAGCTCAAGATGGACAAGGCGCAGCGTCTCATCACTGGCGAATCCTCCGCCACGCACGCCATGGTCATTACCGCCGTCCACGTCGGCGAGGATGGCCGCCCCATCAAGTACAAGGTCGAGAATTCGTGGAGCAAGGACCGCGGAGAGGACGGCTGGTTCATGATGACGGCTGAGTGGTTCCGCGGGTTTGTGTACCAGGTCGTTGTGCCCCGCAGCATCGTCGACAAGAAGTGGGTCAAGGTCCTCGACCAGGAGCCCATCGCGCTCGAGCCTTGGGACCCGATGGGTGCCCTTGCCTAAGCAGTGTTGTTCTCAGAAGATAGATCCTATACATCTGGTTGATATTACGAATGAATATTACGAAGTGTGCAAGATGCGATATTGTTGTTGCAGGCATTGACGCTGCGAGTGTAGTTGTGTGATGTGGTTGCGTGCCATGGCGGTAGTAATAGTAATCACATGTTTAGGGTCGGATGGAGTCACCGCGACGAAGACTGGTTGTCCTTGGCGTACATCCCTTGCGCCTCGGCGATGGTGACGAGACGACGGAGGACTTCGACAGCCTCAGGGCTGACATGTCCCTGCGACGCGCCCTGCACGATACTAGCGACGACCTTGGTGAGCTCCTCCTTGCTGCTGACGCCAAGCGCAGCCATAGCCTCGCTATACACCTCCTCGATGGGGATCGGCACATCGCGAATGGGTAAGAACATGTCCTCTGCTTCGTCGCCGGCCTCATCCTCCTCCCTCGGCCGCTTCTGTCCGCGGTGCAGTTTCTCCTCCTCATTCTCCTTCCCGCTGTCTTCTCCGTCACCAGACTCGTCCTCGTCCTCATCTTCATCTTCGTCCTCGTCCTCGTCGTCTGAGGAGGACTCGCCGGGCTTCGGCGACGTGGGCGGCACGAAGTCCTCGTCGGCCGCGTCCTCGGGCAGATCGTCAAAGTTGAACAGGGCCGAGAGAGACATCGTGTCGTAATCGTCCCCGCCCTCGAAGCCCGTGTAGGCGCCGGTGAGATCAGCGGGCGACGTCGTCTCTTGCGCGTGCGTCGCCATGGCCGCATCAGTGAGCGGCGTCAGCACAGCGGGGGTGCTGAAGCTGGATGTCACCGCCGACGGCGTCGCGAACGCGGCCGCGTTAAAGCCGGAACTGAGTACCGCCGCTGCCGCTGCTGCGGCTTCCGCTTCAGACATGGGTGGGAGAGGTGGAGGTGCCATCGGAGTCTGCGGCTGGGACGGCGCCGGTGGAGGCGGCATAGGAGACTGCGCTGGAGCAGACGGCGGCGGTGTAGGCTCCCTCGCTGTCGTCTTCGCGGTTTTGGGCGATCGGCCTGGGGCGGGCGGCTCCTTCGTTGATGGCGGAGGCGGCGAGTGGTAGACCTTCTCGGTGTATGTCGGTGGCGCGGGCGTGTGTCCCAAGCCGACGATCTGGGCCTGGAGCTGGTTTACCCTTGCCTCGAGCTGGGCACAACGCTCTCGCAGCGCCTCGCACTCGCGTGCACGTTCGTCCAACTCCTTTGCCGTGTCCGCCGCGGCGGCCAACTTAGCTTTCGTTTTCTGTCTGCTGAGTACGGCTGTGGTATTAGCTTCCCGCCAGCAGTTTCCAGCTTGCAACTGTACTTCAATGCTTCAGTACTCACCAGCTTCCTTGTTTCTCTCTCTGCGGCGTATTGCTCGCTCCTCCGCTGTAAACTTTGGCGGCCGCCCCGGTCCTCTAGGCTTCTTAAGCGGTGGTTCGCCGTTCGACGAGGGTGGCTTAGGTTCCTCCGAAGGCCGCGTGATGGGGTGGTGCGGTCGCCGACTAATTCGTCCAGAGCGGGTTTCAAAACCTTCGCCCTGCTGCTCGGTGCGCAGAGCCAGATCCACACCCCCGCCGATCAGCAGCTGGCGCAGCTGCTCCAGTGCCGCGGAGTCTGTCGTCAGCTCGGCCGGTAATGGCGGCGCAGCCGAGCTTGTCGCCTCCATGGTGATCCGAGGCGAGGATGCCTTAAAGGTTCGCTGTCGTCGCTAAGGCTCCGAGAGCCATTGGACTTGCTAACGCAAGCGAGAATGAGAGAGTGAGCAATGTTGAGATACGCGTCCAGGACCAAACAAATATGACGCGTTGGCCAAATACAAAGTGCGGAGGCAAATTGCAGGCAGTGGATGGATTACAATTAGTCGGTAGTTCCTTAATGACAATACGAAGTGATTTCAACAACAACTTACACTTGCGAATCTCTCTCGCGCGAAGGTACCGGTGAAGCAAGTGTAAGCTGGATGTCTAAGGATGATGCTTCTGTGCATTCCGACGAGAGTAGAGCAGTAGCCTCCATATCCATGCTGCAGGGGGCGAGGCGGGCGAGAGTGCAGAGGGCTGATCCCTCATTTGATCAAGCCCAAGGCCTCGGCATTCAAGGTGCTAAAATTGCCCGACTGTTGCTCGTTATTGCGGCTTAAGATAATCTCTGCGCTTCACCTTCCACTTCGACACATCGTTACCTTCGACCTCAAGGCTGAATGCGCGAAGATCTTGCTCCGATGTGCAATTAGACATTGCGGTGGGTGCTACGCACCGGATAATCTCCGGGTGCATTGTTGTGTTTGTCTTCCCCGCCACGTACTGCGCACAGTAGCGTGGATCGTCCTGCGCCCTAGCCCGTCACACGTCCAGCCTCAAACACCGTCAACACACTCAGCTTCTCACCATTGTCTTTCTCAACATTCTCCCACTCCTCATCAACCAATGACTTTCCTCTGCAGGGGGTGCAAGCTCACCTTCGACTCTAGCAGCGCGCGCAACGCACATCTTGCCCTGACCGGCCATCGTGCGCCGGCGCACGAGTGTCCTGCGAAATCGTGCGGCGCCGTGTGCAGGAACGACCGCGAGCTCTGGGAGCACATGAAGGGATGCAGCCGCATGAAGCGCACCAAAATCAAGGGCGTTCCGTGGACCGACGCCTACTTCTTCTGCGAGTACTGCGAACAGCTCGTTTGCGGAACGAAGGCGCAGGAGGATGTGAGTTCCATTCATCGGTTGCAACATGTCTGTTAGCTAACATGTGCAGCACCAGTGCACCGACTACTCTTGCGACCGGTGCGAATCGTCGTTCGAGACGCTGACGGCCCTCGCCCGCCACCTCTTCCCCATCTTGAGCATAGAGATTGAGGAGCGCACGCTCCGCGAGGAACTCTACGCCCGCGTACGGGAGAGGGACCGCCGCGGCATCCTGAAGAGCCTCAAGGACAAGTTCAACGTTCCCAAGAACCAGGTTGAGGAGCGCCTCCATCTCAGGGACGAGCGCTACGTTTGCCACCTCTGCCAGGCGGTCTTCCCCGATAGGCTGGGGCTGAAGGAGCACTTCTGGTCACACGCTCGTAAGGTTTACTCGGTAGAGTGAACTGCTGACACGACAGACGCCGAACACCACTACAGCTGTGTCTCGTGCAAGAAGGAGTTCAGGACTCTCAGCGGCGCCCTCCATCACGTCGAGATCGAGAGCAAGATTTGCCTCCATAAGAAGACGGCTACCAGCCGCCTCTGACCCCTCCTCATCTCGATGAAAACAAAAGAGCAACCTTTGTAGCACAACACCACTTACCCCTCGTTCATTGTATCTCACAGTATCATACATGTCGTCTACACCTTGCGTTTCATCGCAAGCTTATGAATCGTCGCCATGGCCGCGTCCTCATCCTCTTCCCCGTTCATGCCCTTTTCGTACGCCTCCTCAATCTCGGCACAGAGACCGCGGTCGTCGATCTTCCGATGCTTGTCACGAAGGTACTGATATCTGATACGGAGCAGCGCCTTGATAACCTCAAACGAGATGGGCCGGTACCAGCCAGTGACGGGGTTGCAGTCGTCCGCGAGACTCGTGGGATCGTAGATGAAGCGCTTGATGAAGGGGTCGTGGATGTCGCACATGAGGTAGTCCGGCTTGTTCTGGTGCAGGATCTGGCCGTCGAAGATGTAGCTCTTGGTGATATCGAGCGGCTCGCGAAGCCCCTGCAGGACGCGCTTCTCCGCCTCACGCTCCCACCAAAACTGGCCGTTCATGCGGCGCTCGTCGTCATCGTCGTCCAGATCGTTCAGCACCGAGTTCTTGCCCCTCTTCACGTCGAGGTACACGAATACACGCTGGTACTGGTGCGCGTCGCGCTCGCGGCATGGGTCGTACCCGTACCGCACCATCGTTTTCCAGAACGGTCCCGCGCCGTACGTGAATGCGACCGAGGGGATGTACGCCTTGTTCGACTCGATCTCGTACCGGTCCGAATCGTTGAATTGGGCCAGCAGCGCGTATCGCAACCAAACTGGCCGCTCGTCCATGAGCTGCTGAAGCTTCTTCAGGATGCGCTGGTTGATGTGCGGGTGGCGAGCCTTCACAGCCTCCTCTGGCTCGGTCGGGACGGGGTGCGCGTGGCCAATGACAGGGACCGAGAAGCCGCTTGCGCGCGTCTTGTTCACAAAGCGCACCTTGTAGTCACCTAGGTCATCATCCCACACCTTCTCCTCCACTGTCGCTGTTGGCATCTTATAGCTGAAGGTCAGTTAAGGTTACAGTTCTTTCAACTTACTTGAAGACATGTGGCAACTGGCGCATACTAGACACCGGTGTTGGCTGCAGTTCTGTCTTCGAAACAAACGGAACGTCCCCTCCTTCTGAGGGAACGAAGTACTCCTCGTCGATGTCGGGGAATTGGTAATCAAGGATAGCATCATAGTCGAGATCAAGCAATGACTGGGTCAGCTGCTGGATGTGGCCTGAGTCTGGAGGCGTGTACTGGTAATCGGCCATTGCTGTCGTTAGATCATTCTTGTGTGCAGAGAAAGCTACTCACATCTGAACCTCACAGTCTGAGGCACGCTCCCGACGATCTCGCTGGTGAACACGCCCCTATCCTGTCCCTTCCTTCGTCGCTTCGTGACCTTGACGAGAACCTTCTGGCTCTGAACGCGAGTACCGCGGACAGGAACAGAGGAGCGCTCTTCCGGCCTATACTTCATTTCCAGTTGCTGGGGTTGATGGATTGGTGCGTTGAAGCACTCATCGACGTCCTCCTGCTTGATGACCTTGAGGATAGCCTGCGGGTTTGATACTGGTCCCGGGCACTCGATGGATCGATACGTCGCACGGGGCAGTGGACGCCATCGAGCGACATCCGACGGCCCGGCTTCCGGCTCTTCGGGATCGGGACGATACGAGCCGTCAGAGGCTGGTGACGACATGGCGGATGGCGTTGTTGACAAGTTGTGACCGAGAATTGAGCTCTGGTGAGTGTGGAGGTTGGGAGCTCCAGAGGCAGGCACGGGATCCCACGTGTGGCTAGGGCCTTGGCGCTCTTCCACCTACCTACGTCGACCAAGGTGCTTCCTTCCTCATCAAAGCGGCTCTCCATTGATGCATAGAGTGTCGCAGGACGTTGTAAAGTGGACGGGGTGCCCCTGTCCATTATGCATCTCTGGACGAAAATCCGGCAGCATAGAGATCAGGCATGGTGACTTTACTGCTCCTCCCGGATCGGCCTCCCTCTGCCCGTTTTTGGCGACGGTTACCAAGCCCGAGCCATCGCGGTCAGTGGGAGCTCTTCACGTGGTCTCTCTGCGCACTGAGCGATGCGCAGATGCACGATAACGATCACAACACCTTCGGCAGATGAATGCGCAGGCTTATGAGTCGAAACCCCCTTGCTTTCACGCACGAGAGGCGCTCTTCAGGAGCTGAAGTCTCAAGGCCGCATTTGTTGTTGTTTCGTAGGAATGGTGAATCAAGGGAGCGGAGATGTTAACCGGGATTACAAAGTTGGATTAATCTCCGGTGATGGGGTTAATCGCGGATTGTAATGCAATGATATGGACCGTGTCAGGACAACAATCACGGGAACTGCTTGCGCAACCAACTTGGTACACCCCTCTTTTTCGTTCGCGACCCACAACCTTTATCTCCCTCGTACTCGCCAGCATCCATCCATCCACCCGAGCGGCCAGCGCCATCCTATCCGCGCAATCGTCAGCTACCGGCGCACACTACTTGCAGCACGCCACGACCTCTGTGAGCCGCAAACTGCCCCGCCCAGCGGCGGCCATCGCCTGCCATGAAGGTACGTTGATCTACACACCCAGCCCCCGCCTCGGCTTGGCCCAAGGTCCCACCCGGTTGTGACATCTTTGAGCTGCGCGAATGCCGTGCTGATGCATCCACTTCTACAGTACCTTCTGGGGTACCTCGAAGGCATAAATGATGCTCCGCGCATCTCTGATCCCGACTTCCAACAGCTCCTCGTCGACGTCCAGGCTTCCAAGGTGAGTGATTTCACGCGGTGGATTTATACTGCGGTCGCCCGACAAGTTCAAGACACTCGATCACTGACGCGCGCCTCTTCCTCCATCGCCAAACTCAATCCGCATATCTCTGCTTGCATCGACTCTTCCGCTTGCGTTTGCGTCTGCAGCCTCAAACAAAATCATCCGATGCATTCTACGACAGCTTGGAGAAGATCGTGAACGAGCTCCGGAGCTCGGTGGGTCCCACCTCCACTTCTTTGTTCTGACCATCAGCCTGAAGCTGGACCGTTCCTCAAGCCGGTATCAAAGCGAGATGCTCCGGACTACTTCCAATGTAAGCTAAGCCCAATGGAAGGTTGGCTGATGCGCAGATATCACCCGGCCGATGGACTTGTCGACAGTGCTCCGAAATGTCAAGAGCCACAAGTACAAGGACAAGGCCGAGTTCGCCAACGATCTGGATCAGATCTGGAAGAACTGTCTGACGTACAACACCACGGCTGTATGTCATCCGCCCGCTGCATCCAGCTGACCCCAGAACCATCCTCTGCGCGGCGTAGCCAAGTACCTGCAGCAGAAAACAAACCACCTGCTCGACTTCCTGCAAGATCGAGATGAGGCTGCCAACAACCCGCTCGCCGCTATCCTCGGCGCGGCCGGCGCTTCCCTCGCGGTGCAGCGAGCAGCGTCCCAACAGCCGAGCGCCAGCCAAGCCGCCGGAGATGACGAGGACGCCGCCGGCGAGAGCGACGATGCGGTCGGGGAGGACGACGACATGGGGGGAGCGCGAGGAGAGAAAACATTGCCAGGCGGTCACCCAAATGGGCTTACCCCTGATGTCGGTGCTAGCGGACGGGCAACTAGCGTCGAATCGGCATCGGGGGACCGTCGCGTGAATGGGAACGGCAAGGCGAACGGAGAAGTGACTGTGAGTTCGAGGATCCGGAGCGCCAAACTGACCTCAGCCGCCTCCTTTTCGTCCCAATCTCCAAGTCAACCTGGAGCTCACGCCTGCCCTGGTGAGGTCGCCGTACACGATGACCCACTTTCAGCCCGTTTCCTTGAGCCAGCCGGGACCTTCCTTTTCCGACAAGGGTAAGGCCCGCGACATTCTCTACGGCAATGCGCCCCCAGCATGGTACCCGACCCCCGCGGGGGAAGACGAGGATGCCAAGCTAGAGGGCTACTGGTGGGGTGCGACGAGCAAGGACGAGGCATATGTCGCTGGTCTCCCCGCCGTGCCGGAGATGGTCGATGGCCCGTCGCAGAAGAGGCGACGAATTTCTCGGCGACGAGCGAGTGCGTCGCCACAACCGAACGGCGATGCCGACGCTGTGCCACCACTAGTGCCATCCAAGCCAGTATCACTAGAACGGGTAGTGCATCGTGCGATCGACAAACTGGGCGATGCGCGCAAGACAGTCAATACGATACAGGAGTTGCAGCGGTACTATGAGGGCGATGGCATGGGTCTTCCTCCGCCGCCCATCGAGCCACTAGAGACGCTGCGGGCACGAGAAGCCGAGGAGCGTGTTGAGGGCAAACGGAAACGGCGAGAGGCGCGGACAGAGGCGCACGAGCGTTTCCGTCACGGTGGCGAGGTGGGCGAGGCCGAGGCCGCGTTCGTCCTCAAGCGATCTGTGGCAAGCATGCTGGCGCACGCCGGATTCGAGGGTAAGTCGCACGTCGATCACACAGATCTTCCCATTGCTGACGTCCAGGCGCGAACGACATTCCTCTTGATCTGCTAACAAGAGTAGCGGGCGACTTCATCCGCAACTTGGGTCGGACGTTCCGTCTGCTAGTCGATGGGTTCGGGAGCCAGCTACCGCCGGACGAGATTGTGCTGCACGCACTGCACGAGAACGGCCAGGTCGAGCTGCAAGACCTCGAGTCGCACATCAAGGACGACATTGAGCGCGACAGCGCCAAGGTCGCCGAGATGGCGCGCAAGGTCCGGCAGTCTTACAAGGAGCTCACGACCGGCCCCGTCATCGAGGACGACATGCTCTTCGCGCAGGACGGCCAGATGTTGCAACAGTGGGTACCTGCTATCTCGACTTGGCTCCTAGCTGACAAAACAGTGGCGACTTTGCCGAAGACCTGGGCGAGGACTTCCTCGGTCTCCGCGAACTCGGTATCGACAAGGAGTACGGCCTGGCGTCACTATCGGTCCCGAAAGCGCTCTTCTTCGGGCGACACGGGCGAAACCGCGGCGCCGAGAACGGCAAGAAGGAAGACGCGCCCGACTACGCTCCTCCGCCGCCCTTCATCCCGCTCACAGCTGCGTCGTACAAGTCCGCAGCCCCGGGATTCATGCACGCGTTCTACGCCGAACGGCTCGAGAAGGGCGGCACGCTCGAGGCCGACGACGCCTTCGACGCCGCGCAGGCGACGATCGGACCGCTGGGCCAGATCGTGCAAAAGGCTCCCGCCAATGCACCGGCCGGCAAGAAGAAGGACGGCGAGAAGAAGAAGCCGGCCAAGAAGATTGCGCAGCCTGGTGTCGGTAAGGGCAACTGGATCCGGCCCTCTAAAGAAGAGCGCGAGCGGAGAGCGGCAGAGAAGAAGGCCCTCCTTGAGAAACAACGGCTTGAGGAGGAGGCCAAACGGAAAGAAGAGGCGGGGGAGGAGGACGCGGAGGGCGAGGAGGAGTGAGAAGAAGGGAGAACACACGGTTGTCCAGGTTGTTACACTATGGCATGCATATTGCTCTATTTATCCCAATCCCGGAGACCTTGGAGAGACAGACGGAGCTGAAAGTGTTTACTGGCTTTTGCAGTCTATGATATGTGGGTTTGTGCGGGGGAGAGGGCGAGTTGTACATTTGAAACACATTAGGTGGGTCGTAGGTGGGTATCTGGATTATAGGGTTGTACAGGCGTACAGGCGGCAGACGTGCAGTATTCGCTGTCCACCACCGCCGAAAGGCTCGCTCGCTCGCCCGCCTTACAGGTCCTTCTTCGACTCTCCGTTGGCCGTGGCGACCTTGGTGCTCGGCGCGCCATTAGCAATGGTGCCCTTGGGGAGGTGGCGCTTCTCGGCCTGCTCGCGCGTCATTTGCGTGCCGAGGAAGTAGTCCCAGTTGGTGAAGAAGGGCTGGGCAAAGTTGGCCTTGATGCCGTACGTCTGGTGGTGGATGTCGTGGTAGTCCGCATTGTTCGCGAAGAACATCTGGCACGGGTCCCACCACAGCCGGTACCCGCAGTGGTCGTCTACGGTCTTCCAGCTGCTGATCGTGAAGAGCAGCGTCGCCTGGCGGATCGTCATGAAGGTCGCGAACTGCGCGATGCCGGCTCCAAGCGTGTCGAGCAGAAGACCCTCGACGGGGTGGTTGTACAGCGCGCCAAAGGCGAAGGGGACGTAGAGACGGTGGTGGTGGCTGTGGAAGTGGCGGTAGAGAACCGGGTACGTGTGCATGATCCGGTGCAGCCAGTACTGCCAGGTGTCGATTACGCAGCAGCCGAGGAAGAGCTGGAGAGCCGGGATGCCCCACCAGTAGAACCACTCCGTGATCCGCGGTCCGGCGGCCTCGAGCACGCGTCGTCCCGCCGACTGTCCAAGAAGGGCGAACGTGACGTCGGCAACACGCGGAGCGAGCCAGCGCAGAGAAGCCATGTGGTCCTTGTAGTACTCGGTGCGGAGAACGTCCTTCTCGCTCTCGAGCACGATGAAGCCCGTAATGGTCTGCACGATCTGCTGGAAGATGACAGCCCAGAGGACCTGCGACAGCGTGGCGCGGTTGCGCGACTTGGTCTCGGCAGACTCGTGGATTCGGCGCTTCTCAAAGTACGGGAACTCCATAACGTCGAGGAAGTGGAACACGCTCGACACGATCCAGTACACGATGATCGGGGCTGCGAGCGAGAGCGCCGTGTCGCTGATGGCGGGGTGGATACGCTCCCGCGCAATGTAGTACCATGGCGGGTTGAAGGTCTGGGGCGTTATCCGGTTGAGGAGGGTTGCGTTGTGCGACGCCGCAAACGACGGCAGGCGGTCGATCCACCCCGTCGGGAAGTGGAACATCGTCATGGTGCCGGAGTTGTTCTGGTGGTGAGGAGGGTGTGGAGTAAGTGGTGGCAGGTGAGGTAGGACGAGGACCGCGCGAATCGCTGCCGCGTTGTTATAAGACGATGGACCAGAAGGCGTGGGCGTGGGCGTGCACAGACCTGCGTTCCTTCGAGTGGTCGAGTGTGGTTGCTCGGAGCGGGGCGCGAGCAGCTGTTTCTCGTTCAAAAGTTAGGGCGCGACAATCCCCTGCAGTGGCGTTTTCACGTTCCTCGCGATCCGTGCTGGGTCTGGGCGCGACAACAGCACTGGCGTCTAGGCGTCGACGGGTTTGGCGTCAGGCGTACGGCTCAGGTCGGGTCCCGGGAGGGCGCGATGGAGGCCGGAAGGGGATGAACAAAGGAAGAGATCGACCGGAGGCGTGTGCGCGCTTGCGATGCGCGTGTGGTGATCTCTCGGAGTCGGAGCCGGAAGGGGAAGGGGAAACGAGTGGAGGTGGGTCGAGAAGTTTGCCAAGGTTCTCGAAGAAGGAAGACGCCGAAGGTGGAACGAGTGTAAGAGTGGGAGTAGTGGCAATGGGAGAAGAAAGAAATGATTGAACAACAATAAAGATGCGGCGGTGCTTGTGTGTATGATGCTTGGCGGCGGACTTAGTCGCAAGGTTTGCTCTGTGGTTGTCTTGCCCGATGGCCATCCACCATGCCGCGATGGTTTGTAAGTGGGGGGGGGGGGGTGGTATCGGACCCTTGCCACCCTGCCGCTCGTCCCTGGTTCCGGCTGTGGTACGGCCCCCGGACTACCAACTGTCCGCGCCGGACCTCTCCTCGAGCCCTCTATGCGCGCCTGGCTTCCAGATGCCGCCGCTGCAAAGCCGCACGGAGGCAAATTAGTCATCAGAATTGACCGATCCTGTCTCGCATGGTTCTCACATTGCCTCCACGCGATGTACACGTGAACCAACATCCGATCTGGGGCACCTTCCCACGAAGGATTTCCGCGCCCGCAATCCTGCAAGTTTCTGGTCCCAGCGGGCCAGGTCCACCCCCGCATACGGTCTTGAAGCTTGCCACCGTCCTCGACAACCTTCCTTCCGCAACATACACCACAGACATATTACAACACAATGGGACGTTTACGCCGATCAAGAACTCACCACGCCCGCCGCGACGTTCAGCGCGGCGCTCGTACTCGTGCCCGCACGAAGGATCTCGACCAGATCGAGCGCGACCTCGAGCACAACCTGAAGAAGCTCAAGCACCAGCCTATCGATGAGGACAAGCCCGGACTGGGTCAACACGTAAGTATCTCCTTGGCTGCTAAAATCTTCATTGCGGTGGTTTGGGCGGAGCGTTTGCGGCTCGCTGGGTGTCGCGTGAGCATATCGGCAGCTGGTAGCTGCCTTCCTTGCGTGCGCCTGAATGAGGCCTCCAACAGCTCCAGTAGCTTGAGTGATTTGTGACCACCTCGCGCAGCCGTTCGCACCAATGGCAAAGAGATACAGCAGAAGAACCCCAGCTGGTGAACGCGAAGAAACTGAGCTGACATCCAGTACTGCGTCGAGTGTGCCAAGTATTACGAGTCTGACGCCGCGCTCACCACGCACACCAAGTCAAAGGTGCACAAGCGCCGGCTGAAGGAGCTCCGCGAGGGCGCGTACACGGTTGAGGAGAGCGAGCGCGCTGCCGGCCTCGGAACGGACAACACGCAGCGCGGCTTCGAGGACGTCATCCGCCGATTCGGAGACGCCTCGGTTGCTCAGCCTCAGCAGCAGCAGGCCGCTGAGCCGGGGAAGATGCCTCAGAACAATGTCGTGCACCACGCGCCTGCCTGAATTTCCGAATCTCGATAGACGAGCGAGACTATTCGACACTGTAATACCCACTTTTAGACCGCGGAGACCGACCGACGAACGATGAAGATCACGAGGTTCGGACGCTTGTACGATAGCTTGGCGATGTGACTTGCTTAACTTGGACCGAGATTTGATTGCTGTCGACGCCAAACTGCAGAGGGAGAAGTTGTGGGACCTGCTCCGTTCACTAACGCATGCCCTGATCACTGATATACATAGGATGCACAACTACTGCCTCATCGCGGCCTCAGTGAGGTCGATGACCTGTCCGTTAGCTTCCAGCTGTGCCCACCAGCTCTTAGTGCCGAGGACTCACCTTCTGGATATCCGGCCGTTTGCTCGGCTCAGGCACGAGCATGGCGTCGATGAGCTTGGTGACGCGCTCGCTGTACCCGGCCGGGTGCTTGTATCGCCCGCTCAGCACGGCCATGGCAATGGACGCGCCATCCGTCTCGAACGGCGAGTACCCGTACGCAACCGCGAAGAGGGTGCAGCCGAGGGACCAGATGTCGACCTTTTCGTCCAGCGTCGTGCCCGTCTTGACGTCGAAGAGCTCGGGCGCGCGGTACGGCATTGTGCTGTGCTCGGCGGCGATGTCTTGCTCGAGCAGCGCTTGCTGGCGCGTCGCGATCTCGATGCGTGCCCTGCGGGTTAGCTTGAAAGGGCGCTGCATAGCTCACTTGATGCAGGAGCCAAAGTCCATCAGAATCGGGACGTCGTCGTCCGTCAGCATGATGTTGCCCGGCTTGATGTCGCGGTGCGCGTATGGGACAAGCTCGCCCTCTTCTCCGGATACGGGCTCGGGAGTCGAGTGCAGCAGCGCTGACTCCTCGTCACCCGCATTCGGAGGGTAGGAGGCATTGACGGCTGGAAGGCGGTACTGGTGCATCGCGCGGAGGCTGTTGTCAGCGATGCCTCGGTCTGCGAGTAGTCATGCCATTCAGTGCTAGGTAGACTTACCCAAGACACGTTCCGTGGAAGAGACGGAGGAGGCGGTCCTCCTCAATGCGGTTGCCGGTTACAGATACCTGCGTCATGAGGTCCTGCAGGTTTCCGTTCGTGTAGAAGGGGAGGAACCTGATGTCAGCTGCTTCCGGGTTCGACAAGCTCACAGGTAGATGATTTTGCCGTCTGCGGAGGGGTCCTGCACCACGGCCGAGTCGATCAGCTTGATCAGGTTCGGGTGTCGGAAACGGCGGTAAGCCTCGACCTCGCGCATGGCGGCTGCGACGCCGTCCTGGCCCGTCGTGACCAGGATCTTCTTCAGCGCGTACAGCCGCCCGCTGCTCATGTCGCGGATCAGGTAGACAAAGGAGAAACCGCCCTCGCCGAGGAGCTTCTCGACCTTGTAGCTCCGGCCATTGATCTTGAGCGTCGCGTCGCTGCATGTCAGCTGTTATCAGGCAAAAAGCAGCTCCTGCAAGAAGTGCGCGAGCACAGCGCAGTCGTGGAAAGCACTCACGGCTTGCAGATACACTGTCGTTAACTTCACGAACCTAAAAGGAGCTCACCTGCGTCACGGTCACGAGGGCATCCTGCGCATAGAACTTGATGCGGTCGAGCGCAATGAGGAGGTTGTCGTTCATGGTGTGCGCATGCGAGGACGATGGACGATGGGGCAACAAGAAGCCAAGGCCAAGATGCAGCAAGGGGGGGGCGTCGGTACCGGCCACATAGGCTGTGTTGCGTGTTGTGCGGGGTCTCCGCACTCCGCCAGCCAGGTTTCGAGGACACACAAAGGCGTCCCAGGCATCCAACGCCATGCGCCTTCCTCCAACTTCGCAACCTCCCTCCTCTGCATGCAGCGGGTCCTGCTCAGATCCACACATCGAGCAGCGCACACCCTCCAGCACATCCGCACCATGGCATCGGCACCCATTACGGCCCCGAAGGGCACGATCGCGCTCAGCGACACTGAGGAAAAATTCGTGACCCTCCTCGACGAGTTCGCGACCGGCTACAACCCCCCGATCGAGTGCCGCATTGCTGGCGGATGGGTACGGGATAAGGTGAGCTGTTTTCTCTGGTGGTAACTAGCTAATAACAGCTGCTCTCCCTGCCTAGCCATGACCTGGACGTTGCGCTGTCGACGGCATCGGGCTACGCATTCGCGGAAGCGTTTCACAACTTCCTGAAGGAGCGCGGGGTCGACATCGGGTCGCTGGGCCGCATCGAGGCGAACCCAGAACAGTCCAAGCACCTCGAGACGGGCACGACGCGGATCATGGGGCTCGAGTGTGACTTTGTCGGCCTCCGCAGCGAGACGTACACGGACACCCGCATTCCGCAGATCAAGCTCGGTACGCCGCTCGAGGACGCCCTCCGCCGCGACCTTACGTGTAACTCGCTCTTCTTCAATGTGCACTCGCGCGAAATTGAGGACTGGACGCGGCACGGTCTTGCTGACCTCGAAGGTCGTATCGCGCGCACGCCCCTCCCGCCCCGTCAGACCTTCCTTGACGACCCGCTGCGTGTTCTCCGCTGTGTCCGCTTCGCGGGCCGCTTTGGACTCAAGATCGAACCCGACGTCTCAGCTGCCATGAAGGAGACGGACATTCAGGATGCGCTCCGCACAAAAGTCTCAAAGGAGCGTGTCGGCGAGGAGACACACAAGATGATGCAGAAGACGCCTCTCCGTGCGTACGAACTCATCTACGAGCTCGGCCTCCACAAGGCCATCTTTACTGGCCCTGTTGAGCCGGAGAACCCCCGCGAGCAGGCTCTCGCCGCCGCTCAGGTTCTTACTGAGGTGTTGAAGAGGACAGGCGGGCAGGGATCGGATGCGCTTTGGTTTGCTGCTGGATGCAGCCCGTTCCGCGGCATGACGCGGGAAGAAAAGGGGAAGACTGTATCCTGCGTTGCGACCGTTATGCTTGAGAGCGTCAAGGTGAGCTAGTTATTGAAGTCGTTATAGCTGACCTGCGGCAGCGTTCCGCCGACCTCTCCAAACATGTCGCTCATCTGTTCGAAGGTGCTGCCCTTCTCGACCCGGCAGCAACAGGACGGTCACAGATTGGTCTCGTCCTGCAGAACCCTTCAGTTCGTCCATGGAACCAGACTTGGGTCTGGGCCATCGTCCTCGAGGTCCTCCCCACCTGGAACGGACAATGGGAGCACGACGCCATCCTCGAGAAGTGGACCAAGTTCCGTTCTCACCTCGAGTCGCTGGACCTGCCGAAGGCGATCGAGGAGCCGCCGCTGATCAACGGCAAGGAGATCCAGGCCCTGCTCCAGATCCGTCCGGGACAGATCGTCGGTGTTCTCTCGAAGGCGGTCATGGAGTGGCAGCTCGACCACCCGGGCTCGACGCGAGACGAGGTCAGCGCGTGGCTGAAGCAGGAGTGGGAGAGCGAGCAGCGTCAGAAGTGGGAGGCCATGGTGCCCCCGCCAGTCAACAAGACGGGCAAGAAGCGCAAGACGTAGGATCAGGGGCTCACCGCGCACAAGCGGCGGGCAGGCGAGGCGTAGACACATTCGGCATGCACATCATTTACATCGGTACGCGTCCAGCGCTACGACAACAACAACAGACGACGACTACAACGGATACAACTGATACAACGAGAGTAAGCATACAATGACTGACAGCAGGTGGTTTACGAGTAGTCGAGCGAAGTTGGTTCCCACCCCTCGATCCACTCCGTGACACAGGTGTGACCCCAGACCTCGAGCTCCTCGAGCGAAGCGCACGAGAACCATACCCCGTCCTGGTCCCACATGTAGTGGTGGATCCACTGCGGGACATCGCGGCGGCGCGAAACGCGAGACAGATTCTTCTGAGTAAGGTTCTGGACGGGGCCCAGCTCAGGAGCGGAAGAAGAAGCAGCCGGCATGCCAAGGTTCTGGCGCTCGGGGTGTTCTTCCGTGGCTTCTCCTATCTCTTCTGGCTCCTCTGTGAGCACACCAGAGATCTCGGCCTCCATCTCAGGACGCCTGAGCTGCACGCAGTGGTGCACGGGCACGTTGTGGGGCGGCTTCAGGGGCCCTTCCTGCCACACGCTTCCGTAGCGGAAGCTAAGGATGCTGTCGTCTGCAGTGAAGTACCCGCGGCTCTGCAAAGTCAGCACTCTAACTCTCTTCTCAGCACTCCTAAGCTTCACTGCCTCTAAGCATCCAACTCACGTATCGGAACCACTCGCCGTACTGCCCCACGAGCTGCTGGCGCATCTTGAGGACGTGATACCACAGCATCATGCGCTGCTGCGCGCCCCAGGGTGAGTACTGCAGAGCCAATTCGGTATTGGCGACGCCCACGAAGCAGCCGAAGGGCAATCCCTCCGGCTTCCAGGAGACACAGCCTCCGAGCAGGAGGTAGGGCTCGGGGCGCGTGACGGGCCACTGCGTCGGATTTGTGCCGAGGACGACGGGCGGGTTACTTGATCCGGCGGAGAAGAAAGAGCGGTTAGAATCGCTGGAGTCGGTGGTCGAGTTGGAGCCTGGGTGTTAGTGCTGATAGGGAAGGCTGACTCACCTAAGCGCCGGCGCTGCGGACGCGGCGAGAACTGATGCCTGAAGACTCGGAAGGAATTCGCCGCTGGGTAGCGATCGGAGTACGGCCCAGGGGCGGACTGTGTGCGCCGGACGAGCGGGTATCTCTTCCGGATGACGAGATCTGCGCTAGACGACGCCGCCGGGGGCGGGATGTGGTCGTCGCGGTCGTCCTGGTTATCGCGCGGTTCGCTCGGCTGAAGTCGTTCAGGTCTCTCCTCCTCTTCCCACTCCGACCCGTACGACGTTATCGGGATACCGAGTGAGTGCAGGATGGACAGGATCCAGTTGCTCCAACCTGGAAGGGACTCGGGCGGCAGGATGAACGCACGCCCCGCGCTGTGGCGGAGCAGAATACCGACCAGATGATCGCGAGCCCTCACACCCATTGGGGCCGGCTTGTGCCGCACCCCTTCGGAGTGGGCGACGTACTCGTCGACTTGAGGAGCTGGGCTATTCTGTGGTGGCCGGCCACCCGATGACGAGTCACGGCGTTGGCCAAGCGGCACCATGGCTGCGGGGAGCATATGCCGCGCGCGTTGTTCGACGTGTTGCCCAGAGTCGCCACTGGTTTGTGTCACCGCCGGTCTGATGTCGAGGGCCGGGGTCACAGGCGGGGACGGACCATCAGGGCACGGAGACATAGGGTACACCCCGAGGCTGATGGAGGACTCTCCGGCCGATGAGGCCGAGGATATCGAGAGCGCCGACATTGATGGTGGATGGAGAGAAGGGTAAGACGGTGTGAACGAGTCGAACGTGTCGAACGTGTCGAGTGTGTCGAGTGTGTACACCGCGGCGGGACCGGTATGGCGACGCGAGCGCGGACAATCACGCTGTGTATCCAGCGGCATGGGCGGGGTGTGGGCGGATGTCTGCGATAGTGACGATAAACAAGGACGACCGCCTCCAACGCGTTTCATGCATGCGACCGTAAGACCATGCATGCAGAGCAGATGTGGAGCCCACCGGGGTACCGGTGCACTTGCACGCGGCCGGAGTGGTGAGCAGTGATGCACTCGGCGCCGTAGTGACTACCGCCTCTGGGGACAGGGAGGGCTCCGTTTGTGGGTGTGGGGTGCGTCCGCGGCGTGTCTGGCGCCGGACCCACAAGCAGTCGTCAGTCGGCGAAACGGCCCTCCCAAACTGCCTACCATAGACGCGGTTTCACTTTGAGCCGTAGTGCTCATGCAGGGCTCTGTGCGTCCGTGCGTCGTGCCAGCGCAGCCCGAGAGTCGTGCGAGGGTCGGATCTGAGACATCGACATGAGCTCACCTCGAGCACAAAGGCTCCCCGCACGACACCCCGCAATGCTCACAATAGACCCATTTGGTGACACGCTGCAGCCGTTATTCCAGTGGAGACACTGCATTGTCCACAAGGACATGTGATCTGCCCCTTGCGATCTGGATCGTGGCCTCGCCAGGAAGAGCGCCAGCCTCATTCCAGAAAGGGGAATGCTTGGGTGCGGAATAAGCACGAATTTCCATCAATTTCGCCCCTTTTTCGATCGCCTCTCCCAGTAAACACCTTCGATTTTCTTGCATGACTGACGATACTATGGCACTTCAAACTTCTGATTGTTCGCTACGATTGGTATTGGAGTATATACAGTGGTAAGTGGATGTGATATGGATACAGTGTGATGGATCGGATGGTGCAGCAATGCGGGACATGGTGTAGCGACATGATGCTGTTGTGCATGGCGGGCAGCCCAGGTAACGGTGCCCGAGTCAACTTCGGATTCGAAGGAGGAGGCAGCTTGGCTAGTGACCGACTGACTCGTTGATTTCGGAAAAAGAGTCAGTCTTGTCCTCGTCCTCGTCCTCGTCCTCCTCGGCGCTTTCATCGTCGTCCTGGTCCTCGAGGCCGTTGATGAAGTTATCGAAATCCAAGGCCCAGCGGGGCGGAGTCTCGCGCGACTCGTCAACCTCGAGAACGGGGTCAATGAGAGGGCTACGACGCAAGCGGTTGCGACGACGAGGGGTGATCATAACAGCGTCCTGGATGTCGTCGAGCACGGACTGAGGGGCGATACCGTTATGCTCCACAGTCTGAGCCTCAGAAGCCTCGTTGCGGTCGACATCAGTAGGGCTAGAGGCATTGTCATTGGCTGAGCGGAAGAGGCGGCGCATCATGATGTCGCGCAGACCAGGAAGACCGGGGTCAGACGCACGGCGGTTGGACCTAAGCTCATCACGGCCGGGGCAGTGCAGACCATCGGGCTCCTGGAAGGAGGGGAGCGAGAGGCGGCGACGGGGGGAGGGCTTGGGAGGAGAAGGGGGCGAGTCCTCAGCGGTCCCACGGAAGTTGGCAATAATGCTGCGGGCGGTTTCATCATCGAAGCGGACGGAACGGGCGCGAGGGCGAGTGGAGGTGTAAGTGCCATTGGGCTGGGTGGCAACGTTGGTGGCGTAGGTAGTAGCGGCAGCATTGGCGGTGGCCTCCGCGCTGATAGCGTCAATCTCCTCAAGGGTCTGCGGACCGGCAGTCGAGACACTGGCGAGAGCGATGATGTTGTTGGCGAGTACATCAGGTGCAGGGTAGCCGTTGAGGCCACCAGGCTTGTACTTGGCGCGGATGCCGACGAGGGGGCGTCCATTGCGGGGCAACTGATCAGCCCACGCGGGGCTTGCGCCACCGGTCTCGGACGAAGTTTGGTCCGTAGAGTCCGCGAAACTAGCCGAGCCGGGAGAGGGGGTGGACAAGGCAGGCGAGGGGGCGGTACCAGTCGAGCAGGTGCTGGTGGAGGTAGGAATCTGGGGAATCGGACCGGGTCCCACAATGGCGTTGGACCTCGCACGCCTGCGGGGGCGCAGGCGTAGAGTCGAGTTTGAGGGCAAGAGGACTGAGACTTCGTTGACAGCGCTAGGAGCGATAGTCGGCACTGCTGCAGCCTCGTCAGGGCTAATGGAGCTCAAGGCAGAGATTGAGTTGCTGGCGCTGTTCTGGTTGCCGGGGAGTCCGCACTGCGCTCCGTCGGGGCTGGCAGTGCCGTCCGAGTCAGTCTGGCCACGCTCTGCAAGATCAGTCGATGATCGAGGTGATCGAGGCGTCCGTGTCATTCCTTACCTTCAGGGCTGCTCGAGCCTGATTCAGCGTAATTACGGACGCCCTGCAGGTCGTGGTGACGTTGATGATCGCCCTTGATCTTGATCTCGACGTGCGCCATGTCGATGAGTTACCGTATGGCGTCGATGGTGGGAGAAGCAACGTCAAGATTGATGCAGACGCTCGTAGCATGGCACATTTTGCATTGGAGGGGGTACATTCACCTATGGGGATACACACAGCGCACAGAGGTGCGCGTACTACTGATACATCTGGCAGATGCGGCCACGTCACAGGGGGCGAGACGTCGGAGACCGCTCTCCGGCGTATACAGGCCGGGTTTCTTCTTCGCCGGCTCTTGAAGTCCGGAACTTACTTCAGCCTGAACAGAGCGCATTTCTGCCAGCTTGTATAGCTACGCACGAGCGGCCGAGGCGCCCTCCGTAGCATTCGCGCCAGTCAGGTCAACAATGGGGACAATTCTGTCACCATCATTGCGGAGCAGGCTGGCGCCGCGGCCCGACTTCATCGAAAGAGGAGGAGCAATACCGGCACTGCTATCCCCTGGGGTCTTGATCTTCACCGGAGCGACCTTGGAGCTGTTGCTGGTGGTCGCACACCTCCACTTGTGGTAGCCATGAGGGTCGGTCCATGGGTCGGGCTTACCCCCAATGCCGGCGTCAGGGAGCGACTCCGACTGAGCGCTCTTCCCAGCTTCCTTCTTGTTGGAAGAAGACCGGACATTGATAACCTTTCCCTTCTTGTGCTCCTCGTTCTCGTCGTCCTCACCGTCAGAGAGGCGGAAGTCGTCGTACTCGTTGTTCACGGCCTTCTTAATTTTGGAGGTTTTGCTGGATTTCTTGTCCTCGCGGTGGCCAGCGCGGGAGGTTGCGCCCTCGCGGCTGACAGGCTCGGGAGACTCGTCGTTGGTTTCCTTGGGGTCTTGAGAGAGAACAGAATTGTACAGGATCTCGGCGTCGCCCCAGCCCTCGTCCGAGTCGGAGTCGGAGTCCGAGCTGCTCGAGAACTTGTCAACCAGCGTGGCGTGCTTGGCGAGGGCGTCGTACGCCTCCTCGAGATCTTTGTTCTCGCGCTCGCGCGTTGCGTTCTGGAGCTTAGAGGCATTGCTGTCAGAGGAATTCTGGGCAGATGCATGCAACCTGCGGATCACGGGGAGTGGCCCAAGACCGGGCGGAGGAGGCAGGTGCGACGGGCGAGGAGTAGGGGGCATCTCCATGTCATCCCGGCGAGAGGTCGAGGAGCTGCCACCGTGGAACGCAAAGGGGTCGTCGTCGATATCGATCTGGGTCAAGTTGCCAGAAGTGTCGACAGGAGCACCGCGCCCAATCGAAGTGGGACGCTTGTACGTGTCCGAGATGTCGCCGATCGCAAGCGCCTCGTAGTCATCCTCAGAGGGAATGGTCACGACCTCGTCGTAGTGAACTTTGTCCTTCGGCGCAGGATATTCGGTCGCAAGCGCATCGGTCGCAAACTCGGCGTCGATGGCATCGCAGATAGCAATGAAGACGTCACCGTCGTCGTCGTTCTTGCGCATGTCAGGGGCGGACAAGTTCTCGCGAGCGAAGTATGCGTTGATCTCGTAGGCGCGCCTGAGATCATTGACGAGCTCTTCGGCATTCTTGCGCACGACCTCGTCCTTGATCGTCTTGAACGCAGAGGCGGGGATGCGAGGAACAGCGTGCTCGTATCCGTGCTCTTCGCGCCAGACTGCGACCTGCTCTTCGACCTCAGGCTTCCACGTGCGCGAGGCGTTGACCGTCTTCTCGAGAGCGTTACGAAGGCGCACGGAGACCTCCCTGACATTGTGAGGTGGGCCACCGCGGGGCGTCTCAGGTTCTGCCACCGGCTCTGTAGCCTTCATCTTGCCCCTCCTCTTATCGGCGAAGTACGCCTTCTCGTCGTTGAGAGCGAGCAGGAGCAGGTCGTCGGGCGACATGCGGCGCGAGTCCAAGTCGAACTTTTCAGCGGGCAGCAGTGCGCCTTCAGTGGCGGAGAGGTGCGGCGTCGCGTGTGGAGTAACATCGGGCGTAAGGTCAGGAGTGGTGACAGACTTCCTGCCCCTCCTGCTGGAGCGGGCGCTGGAACTGACACTGTAGCTCGCCATCGCCGCCTCGGTTTCGGCACGAATCACGCGGTGATCGTTTAGGAAGCGAGGGCGGGGCGGGAACTCGTTGGTGCTACAAGCGTACGCCTCGGCCGACTCGCCGAGGTACTCCTGCCACAGGGCCGCGAGATCCTCAGCGTCCCACTCCGTGAACGACTCGCCCGCTACAAGCCTCTGGCGCATGTGAGCATACCAGGCGGTGAAGGCGCGCGAGAGCTCCTCGCCCTCGTACCAGGGCAGCTTGAAGTCCTTCCTGGGCTTGCGGCCGATGGCAGCGCACGCATCTTTATAGTCCGGGCCCCAGGGAATCTGGTGCGCGAGGTGCTTGCCCATGACGACCATGTCGGCGCTGACGTCGAGGAACTTCTGAGCGTCGATGCTGCCCGCCATCTCGAGCTCCTGGATCATGATATCCTTCGCCTCGCTGTCGGGGTAGAGCTGGAGTCAGCTTTTAGGTATCACGAGGAAACTTAGAAGACTCACAGCCTCGAGGAACTTGACGGTGAAGAAGAGCCACGCACGGCGCTCGCCGTGACGGAATGCGGCGACCATGTTGTGCTGCGTGAGAATGTCGAGGAGACGGCGCCATTGGCGGTCGGTCCAGAGGGGGTTGTTCCCGCAGAGCCCCTTGAGCGCCTCCATGTACTTGTAGCTCACGTTGTAGGCGCCCTGGATGCTGTCCGCGAGCTTGTCCTCGGAGCGGTTGCGCCAGTACTGGAGGAGCAGGGTGCGCGAGGCCCACACGAAGTGAGCGAGAATCATGTGGCGACCCCCAATGCGCAGCTTGGGAAGAGGCGTGCAGTGGAAGATGAACGCGTGGATGCACGACCACAGGTCGACCTCGGCATCCATGTAGAAGAAGTCGGGACAGCTCTCGAACTTGAGCATGATCAGGTCGTTGTGCGTCCCGTGCGCACCGAGGTACCACAGGCGGCGCTGCTTGTCGTAAGCTTCGCGCAGGGGGCTGAGGAGCACCTCGCGGGCACCTGGTGGTTAGCATTGCAGCAGGTGGCAGAAGGGCGTGGGAGGAGGCGGACAGATGACGACGGGCTGGTGCTGTGACACTGTGTGGTGTCGGGCACTGGTCACCAGGTCGCCAGGTGGAAGGGCACATGCCCAATCCACGATGACCCGCGAAACATCCGAACGACAACAGCGCAGTGCATGGCAGGGTGCATACCGTGAGGAGCACTGCTGGGGGTGTTACTCACGGCGACGCAAGTACCAGAACGCGCGCTCGTGGTGCCGCGTAGGGATGAAACCACCGTACGCCTTGTCGTATGCGACGATGTGCTTCTGGACTGGAGGTCAGCGAGGAGTGTCCTTGGGGTGCGGGTTCATTGAGACGGCCAGTCCCGGGACTCACTGTCGTCGTTACCCCAACGGGCACCGACACCGAGGACAAGGTAGTAGTTGACCGCAATATCGGCCTGGGTCAACTTGTACTTTGGCCCCATGACCGTGCTCATGATGCCGATCTTCGTCTTGGTGGAAGACACCGAGGTCGAAGAGTGATGGCGAGAAGCCAGGCGTTGAGGAGAAGAAGGACGTGTGAAGCGGGTGACGAGGTCGAGGATGGGGACGGGGGCGAGGGCTCTTATCACAGCTTCCCCCTCGTACTGTTTGAAGAGAGACCGGGACACTCATCCGGAGCCGCAGCGTCGTGGGAGCGAAGGGACGCAGGAAGACAGGCAGATGCCAGCCAGATGACCTCAGCTGTCCGTGTGCTTTGCTAAGTCGCCAGCGCAGCATGCGAGCGAACCGCGCGGCGTGCTCCTCGTTCCCGTTGCCCCTCAGTGCGACGCGATGTGTGGCCGCTGTGTGTATGTCCTTGACCAGTCACGTTCCGCATACATTCGTGACGTCGAGCCAGACGTTCAGCGCCAGCTCTGCCACTGCCCTGCACATGTGGAAGGTCCGGACCAGTCGTTCGAGGGCTCCGGGTCTCACATAGCAGATCGCGTACGAGGACAGGTGAGGCGCTGTACTGCTATGTCAGTATCTTGGCCCATGGTGCTTGAGAAGAAGAGTCTTGAGGTCGTGTATGAGTAGTCAGAAAGCAAGGTGAGTTTTGCCAGTGGCGGCTCCTTTATGCACCATGCACGAGGTGCGGAATGGGTGCAAGGTGTTGTTCTCACCAGTGCAGAGAAAGAGAGCACCACGAGCCATTGTTCCAACTGGTGCAACGTTCTTTGATGATCATTGTTCCGAGACGAGACGGTTGGAGGAACGGCCGTAGGGCGTAGAAGGTGGCGAGCATGTGGCCGCTGACTCAGGGCCAGCACCGTATCCACTGTCCTGAGACTTGGATGATGCTGCGCGCAATGTCCGATGATATCCCAATATGCATACGACGGTCGACTAGCTGAGTCCCGGCATCGGCACCGGCTCGTCCGCCTTCTCCTCTCCCGTGGCGACGCGGGCCGCGTCCCAAGCGGCCTTCTCCTCGGCGTCGCGCTCGGCGCGCGTCCGCCTTCCCTTGGTCGGCACACCCGCATACTTGTCCCGCATGCGCTCGTACTTGTGCCTCTGCTCGCGGCTGACGGAGGGCTGCGTCTTCTGCGCCGCCTTGGCAAAGTGCTCCGCGGAGACATTGACCTGCGGCGCCATCGTGACCTCTCCGCCGCGCGAGCCGCGGTCTGCGTCATTCTCGAACGCGCCAATCGCCTCGAGTGCCGAGCGCAGCGCGAGGGACGCCGCCTCACGCACGAGCGCGGCAATGTCGGCTCCGGAGAATCCGTCGCAGGCGTCCGAGTTGACCAGAGCTGCGATCGCGGCCCAGTCCTCTTCGGCGATGGGGGTGCGCTTCGTGTGCGTGCGCAGGACCTCGAGACGCTCCGCGGGCGAGGGAAGGTCGACGTACAGCAGCTTGTCGAGGCGTCCCGGACGGACCATGGCGGGGTCGATCATGTCGGGCCTGTTCGTCGCACCGATGACGTACACAGCCTTGCGGGCGTCGAGGCCGTCGAGCTCCGTCAGGAGCGTGTTGACGACACGCGCCGAGGATTCGCTCATACTGTCGTCTCGGCGGGGGACGAGGGCGTCCAGCTCGTCGAAGAAGATGACGCACGGCGCGGACGCACGGGCGCGAGCGAAGACCTGGCGAACCGCACGTTCGCTCTCGCCCACGTACTTGTTCAGCAGCTCTGGTCCCTTCACCGAGATAAAGTTGGCGCGGCTCTCATTCGCGACCGCCTTGGCGAGCAGCGTCTTTCCACATCCTGGCGGACCCCAGAGGAGCACGCCCGACGGCGCGTCGATGCCCACAACTGAGAAGAGCTCCGGATGCCTGATCGGCTGCACGACGGCCATGTGCAGCTCGTCGCGCACGTTGCCCAGCGCACCGATATCGGCCCACGTCACGTCCGGCACAGTGGCGAATCCCTCGCGCTTTGCTGAGGGCTGGACGACCTTGAGCGCCGCATCAAAGTCGGAGGGGAGGAGGACGAGCTGTCCCAGCTGCTCGGCGCCGAGAGGGCCGGGGTGGTTCGCGAGGAACTGCGCGATAGGCGTGGCCATGACGCCGGAGGGAAGCTGGGCCATGGGTCCGTCGTCGAGCGCCATGTTCTCCATCGCGACCTCCTGCGACACGGGCCCAGCCATCGTCTCAAAGATACGCTTGACCGCGACAACGCCTGCCTCGGTCGTCAGACTCGTAAGGTCGGCACCGACGTATCCTGGCGTGGACTTGGCGAGCCAGCGAATGTCGACCTCGGGAGCCAGCTTCAGGTTCTGCAGGAGCACGCGGAGGATCTGCTCTCGTCCCTCCACGGTGGGAACACCCATCTCGATCTCGTGGTCGAATCGTCCAGCACGGCGAAGAGCGGGGTCGATCGAGTCCGGACGATTCGTGGCGCCGAGCATGATGACGGGCTTGTCGCTGCCAGCCAGGTCGTCCATGCACGTCAGGAGCTGGGCGACGATTCGACGCTCCATCTCTCGCTGTGCCGTCTCGCGCTTCGGCGTGATGGCGTCGACCTCGTCGAGGAACAGAATGCAGGGTGCGTGCCGCTTCGCCTCGTCAAAGTGCTCGCGGAGCGCGCGCTCCGACTCTCCACTCATTCCGGACACGATACTCGGGGCGGAGATAGTGATGAAGGGCAGCTGCAGCTGGCCTGCGAGGCAGTGTACGAGCTGCGTCTTGCCTCCTCCAGGTACACCGTGGAGGAGCACACCGTGAGGCCGCGTAATGCCCGTGAAAGAGTAAATCTCCGGGTGCAGTAGAGGCAGCGCAACAATCTCGAGCAGCTGCTTGATCTGCTTGTCGAGGCCACCGAGCTGGGACAGCCGCGCCTCGGGAGGCGCGTACTTGTTCTCATTCGTCGGGTCACGCTTTATCCGCTTCTTGCGCTCGGAACGCTCACGCTCAACGGGTGTTCGGTCTCCGGGGGTTCGCTCGCCATCGGTCTCCGGAGGGGTTGAGGTATCGTTCAGTCCAACAGTCTTGCGAACGCGCTTCTTGACCGCAGCAGAAGCAGAGGGCTGCGCCTGGCTGCCCCACGCAGCCGTAATCGACTGGTTCAGGCTGAGGCCACTGGGGCCGGCGGAGCTCATGGTGGGGTCGGCGGAGGGGGATGGGCGATAGAAAGTAAGGGGAGGGGTGGAAGTTGAAGGAAAGAAGCTCAGCGGCGGGGGCGAGCTATTGTTGCTTGATTCGGTACGTTCTCAAAAGGTTCAGCGTTTCGTCGCCGTAATGTCGGTGCACAGGTCGACGTGCACTCGAAGAGATGCGATGAGCAATCAAAGGAGTTACTGCGAAGATCCTCGACCGTCCGGAAGCTGGAAACTTGGGAGACCTCCACCGAGAAATATTTGTGAGACCTCCACCACGTGGTTCCAGGCACCATGCGTGATCACCACCTGCCAAGACTTGGACTGACAACAGGAAGCCGCTCGCCGGTATGCATAAGTGGTTTGACGAGAGGCGAGGAACGCGGACGTGAAGACATGCAGCGCATAAGTTACGGTATTAGGATTAACATGCGGATCTATGGAGCACATGATGCGGTCTAGGTTTCCTGTTGATACACGAGTCCAAGTCTGGAAGGTATTAAATGAGGTGCGAGTGAAAGGGAATGTCAAGAAAGGTGTCACGGCTACTTCTCCTGGACGTTGTTGGAACCGTTCTGGGCATCGACGAACGGCTCCGTTCCAGCCTCCATGCTCGGGCGCTGGATGCGGAACTGGGGAATGTCTGGCCTCGGCCTCGACTCGGCATCAAGGCGCTCGCCGCCGTCATGGCTCTGGCGCACGCCCTGCGCCCAAGCCTGGTGGCTCGCACCACCAGCGACGTCAGAGAAGCCTCTCTCGCGCCCTCCGAGACGCGGAGGGGGAACGAGCTCGAGGTTGTCCGTAGCGCGGTCGGCTCCCGGTGTCGGCGAGGGCGCCTCGGGCTTACGCTGCTGCACAAGGGCGATCTCGGTGACTGTTGTCGTGGTGTTCGACCGTCCACGACGGGCACGGCCTCCGACACCGCCGAGAGCGTAGTTGAAGGGACCGGGGGGACCGGGGGCCGCCGACGTCGACAGGCCTCGGGGTCGTGTCGGGCGCTGAGGGGTCGAGTTGAGGCGCTGCGGTGAAGGAACGGCGGGGATGATGGGCGAGGGAGGACCGAGCTGCGCAGCGTTCGCAGTGAAGGGCGTGTGACCGAAGGAGCTGGAGCGCGTGCGCGTGCGGCTAATGGGGCGGGTGAGGGAGTGGGCGCGGGGACGGCCCGGCGAACCGCTGACGCCCGGGGAGCTCTCGGGAACAGACAGGCCCGAAGTCGTCGTGACTTGACGGAACGGGCGGAGGAACGGCGACGGCGGGTTCTGGCTCTCGACAGGCGTACCGTCCACAACATCCTCCTCCACGATCGTGTCGATTGCCGGCGAGGCGTCGGCGGCCTCGCGGCCCTCGGCGACCTGCGCCTCCTTGTCCTCCGGAACGACAAGGAGGTGGTGCTCCGACTGTCCGCCGAGCGCCAGCGATGCAATGATCGGGTTCGTGATCCAACCGACGATGCAGCCGTACACGCCCTTGATGGCCTGGGGAGCCCAGACGTTGCCCATATTGCCACCGCGGTAGATCGGGCCGAGGATGATGATGGCGAGAATCCAGCACGGCAGGCCAAAGATGATTCCGAGCAGCGCACCCTGAGCCGCAGTCCAGAGCAGGCGGAGCCACCACTCTCCGAACCCGCACCGCTCAAAGAGCATGTTCATCTCTGTTCCCTCGAACGCAAAGCGGACGAGCATCCAGAAGTAGAATTTGAAGCCATGCGGCTGGTTCTCCCAATAGTCGCACTGCTCACCACCGCCTGGCAGGCCGGCCTCGACCGCCTTCCGCTCCGCTTCGGCTGCTCTACGCTTAGCGCGGCCACGGAAGATCCTGTCGAAGATGTAGTGCGGGTCGGGGAGGTGCTGAACGTGCGGCCACACGAAGGGCAGCGGCCTGATCGCGCGGTGGTGGAGGTCGGTGTGGACGAGGGACGACGAGATGACCATCGAGGCGGCACACTGGATGATCGGAGTGACTCCAAGGTCACCGGCTCTAGACCGTCAGCGTCGCACTATGCACTCGGTTTGAGACAGTCCACACATCGAAGAGGCAATCCTGCGAGTCTGGGGCGAAGGAACGGGGCGAAAAGATGCGACGATGCCAATTTGAGACAATTTCGTGACAGTTACCACCGCACCTCCCAAACTTCTCCCCACGAGATTGTACTCAAGAACACCCCTTCAGATGTGGACTTTACTTCAGAAACGCGCGCTCACATTGTGTTCTTGCTGAATACCCAAAGCTAAGACGTTAGGAACTATGCTTAGGGAGGTTGTTGAAGACTTACTCGAACGTCGGACTGGCCGTGGTACACTGTGGAGGGTCAGTGGTGGAAGTGCCACACTCTACTCACTCGCATAGGCAATTCCAAAGTTGGCGCCAAAGTCGATGAAGCCTGCTCCGAGTCCTGCCCGTTAGCTGTCTGCTCTGCGTGTATAGAAGCTCACCTTGGAGGAAGAAGATGTAGAACTTTTGGTGGAAGGTGAGGCCGGTAGGGTAGGGGCGGAAGATGGACTGGTCTGCGTGGTGCGCAGGCCCCAGGGTGGGGGACGACGCGATGGAGGACATGCTTGAGTGTCGTGAGAGTCGTCTAGAAGGTTAATCTGAGCATGAACGGTGTTGTTGTTCAAGATATGTAAGAGGGAGTGCGAGGAGGAGTGTTGTTGACGTGAAACCAAGTCGCTGGTGTGATTGGTTACGTCGCCGTAAGGATTTGATCGATCGACGGGGCGGGCGAGGCTGAAAAAGCGGCGAAGGATTGGCCGAGACGGGTTCAGGGACGCCACATGGGCCCCGAGGCTGAGAACGGAATCCTCACACAAGTCACGGGGCCCGCACCCATTTCACTCCGCCGAAGCGTCCACGCCCGTAATCTCCCCTCTACCGCGTTCTCCCGCCGGCACCGCACGGATGACTCAACCTCCGTCCGAGCTGACCCTTGCTCACGTGCACTCACCTCTCCCTGCACTCGCCGTCACAGACATCGACGTCAATGCGTCCTCAACGTTTGCCACCACGTCTTCCTCGCTCATCACCATCTCTGCAAACTGCTGACGACGTCACCGGCCCCGTCTAACGACCTTCTTACCCTTCCACTAGCCGATCCTGGCTCTCACTCAGGATTCTCACGTCACTAGTCAACCTCCGCATCCGCCAACTTTCTCCGTGCCTGGGCCCGAGGCTGAACCATGGTGCGGATTTGTCATTGCTCCGTAAGCATTCTCTGTCAACCATCGATCATCAATCTTTCCTCAGAACAACTTCTTAGATCCGCTAAATCAGGACAATCTCGGGCGCATCCTCTGACACACACAACCGATGCATTCGCATCTCGCTGTCCGCGACGTGACCAGCCCTTTCAGCACTCTTTCATGTTGTTTGATGTTAGCGCACGCTCGAGGGAAGGTCATCGTCGGGGCGATACATCGACGAGCACCGTGGTGGCAGGCATCGAAACTCGTTGCGCTGCCCTGCGGGGACGGATCTAACAACAGAGTCGTACTATACGCCTTCGTCGGTGGGACGCTTCCGAGATCTAGGGCTTCTTCGCGGAATTCCGCGGAGAGCGCGCGGTTTCCGGTACAGGTGGTCAACCGAGGTCTCACAGTTAATGAGCATTGTGTGACTCTCATGAGCGACATGAGTCCCGGCCAGTGCTTGATCACTCTGGCCCCCGCTTTCGACCAATACTCTGATTCACGCAGGCACGCTCGCAAGACAAGATGTAACTGCTCACTTCTGCATAAACACATGTCTACTCATTGACCTCGCGCTTGCCGTCCTCGGTCAGGATATGGTTCAGCCTGTCCCGCTTCTGGCAATTGGCGAGCGCAAAGCTCTTCGCGAGCTCATCGAGCTCCTCCGTCGTCTTGTCGCGGAAGTACTCGGCGTACTCGTCACACATGACTTCTCCGAGGAGACAGTTCCGCACCCGGCGGAAGAGATGCTTGTGAGCGCGCCACATGGGCGGATAGAGTTTCTCAATCCCGGGCGCTGACTCGGTGAGCCACCTCTCCATGGGCACAAACACGTCGCGAACGGGCGTGTCATCGCAGCCCCAGGCGTCCACTGCCGTCTGCTTCTTCTTCTCGAGGAACGGCTTGAGGAGCTTCATATAAGGTGTTTCGGGGTCGACGTAGACCATGCCCTGGAAGCCAATGTCCTTGTACAGCCAGATGGACCAGGAGGCGTTGACACGCGCGTAGATCTTGAGCTGCTCCTCGAGCACGGCGTAGCGCTCATCATTCGTCTTCTCGTAGTCGTCTCCATCTTCAGGGCTGGCGTATACGGGTCCAAACTCGCCGTTCCACACCGGTCCCCCGATCTCACGCATGTACTTGATCTTGCGCTCGAACTGGCGCTCCAGCGTCGCGATCTGCTTCTCGCTCCGCGTAAACGGCTCGGGAGGGTTCGGGAAGCCATAGTTGCTGTAGTCGTGGCAGGCGTAGACCGAGTTGGGGAGCGGCTTGCCAAACCTGCTGAAGTCGGCGCCAAACGTGTTGCCGTCCAGGAAGAGGATGTGCTCGGCGTCAATGGCGCGGATGGCCTTCTCGACCCGCTCGTAGAAGGCGAGCAGGCGTGTATGCTCCACGTCCGTCGGCTCGTTCAGCGGGTTGTACCCCGCCACCCAGGGATTGCCCTTGTAGTGCTGCGCCAGCTTCTCCCAGATCAGCACCGTGCGGTCCTGGAAGTCCTTGTGGCCCCAGAACAGCGCTTTCGCGATGCCGCTGTCAGAGTGCCAGTCCACATTCTGGCCCCCGGGGGCAGCATGCAGGTCGATGATGGTGTAGATGCCGTGCCTGGCGCAGAGGTCCACGACGCGGTCGAGGTGGCGCAGCCCTTCCTCTTTGAAGACACGCGGATTCATGTCGTCCTCAAAGTGTCGGTAGTTGACGGGGAGACGGAGACAGTTGAGCCCCAACGAGGCGAAGAAGGCCGCATCGGCCTCGTCGAAGAAGTACGTCAGGAAACGCTCGAAGAAGTACTCGTACTTCTCGGGGCCGAGGACGGCCTTGAGCGCACGCCGCATCTCGTGCTCGTGGCCTGGGTAGCCCGTGATGAAGTTCTCCATGTTCACTGGGCGTCAGTGAAGGTCGAGGCGCAGCCGAGACCGAGAACCGAGACGTTGGCAGCGGCCAACGGCCAGGAGAAAGTTACAAGGCAGGTCCTGTGTATCGAGCAGCAGCACGCCTCGAGCCCTGCAGCCCGTGTCATCACTTACTCCATCCACCCAATCCAGCTCCCTTGAGGATGATCGGCTCGCCATCGCGCGTGATGTGTCCACCCTCGACCTTGAGGTACGGCGTCGTCGGCTTCTCGTTGCTTCCCATGTCTGTCAGTCTCGTCAACGATAGTTGTGAGTGATGTACATGCGGTGAGAAATCCAGTATCGCACTATATACGCCGCGGCGGTGCGTCGTGGGACGTCACGAATCATGCCTCGACTGCGCCGTAACTGATCCGGACATGCCCGGTGGAGGCCCGTATGGTCGAGGGGTGGTCGCGGTATGCAGCGGGGAGGAACGGCGAGGAACGGCTCGGCCGGCTCGGCGCGGTGGAGGGAGCATTCTCGGCGTGCTTTCGGGTGATTCTCGGAATCCTTCTGTTACAGTGCGAGCGCGAAAGCAAGAGGCCGCAAACAGCTAACAGCTATGCTCCGAGGTACCGAGGTGGGCAAGTGTCTGAGCGAGGAGCTTCCAAGACGGCCTCATGGCCAAGAACTCTGCAGTGGGCGAGATATCCTGTCTTCAGCTGTTTTCGTCTACGGAGGGGGAGAACAGGAACTCAGTTCTCAAGTTTCCCACGATAGCCGCGCCTGCGCGACCTCATGTCCTCGCCGGCGCCGAGTTCTCTGGCACCGACGCACGCAGCACACGTCATGCAGATCTCGCGATCTGGCCAGACCCGCAAAGGGCGGAGGGCGGGGCATGGCCCGCCGGTCCCTGCCTGCTCCTGTTCTATTTTCAACGAGGCACTCAAATGTATCTCCCACTCATCTCCACTCATCTCCGCGATGGGTCTCGGCGTCCGGTGACAGACCACGACATGTCTTCGCAGGGTGTGACTGACCATGACATGCGGTGGACCGAGAGCTTGTAATGAGTGTAACGAGAATAGCGCGAGGATAGCAACGCCCCGATTTAGAACTGGTCGCCGACTGGGCTACTGGGTTCCGGGGTGGGTCAGTGAGCAGTATGCCCGCGCCGAGGCCGGAGACAACGTCAAGCGACAGAACTGGACCGAACAAGAGGTTGAGGCAGAACTGCCTTGTTATTTCTGGAAACTTAAGTGCGCAGGCGTAGCTGAGCTTTGGCGAGGGTAGCGATTCTCACCATATGCTCTCACCGTTGCAGTGGTCAATTGGCCATGTTCTATCATTATGATAGCAGGAGACGGAGGGACGGAGGGACGGACCGTGCCTCCGAGCATCCCCCCAGCAACCCGCATGGTGCGGCTCCACCTGATCCACTTGATGAAGCGCGCCAGATCGCACTAGTGCAATGGAAACCCCTTAATGAAAAGCGCAAAGCCATTTCTAATGAGAGAAACGGCGTGCAATGATTAGAACAGCGCCGGTTGTAATGGTTGTATTTTGGGCAAAAGGGGCGGGCTTGGCATTTTCCCGCAGTCGCTGAGCCGTCACAGGTTCCCACTCTGGCTACTGGCCACTCGCGCTATGGTGCTACGGGACAGAAGGCACAGAGCGAATCGAAAACTATCCGGTCTCTTGGCACTACCCCACTTCAGACCTCTGCTTGTCCATATTGAAGTGTCAGTGGAGGAGATTATAGATATGCGGGATGAGGGATGGGGGAGGCTTGGAGGCGGTGGACGCAGAGACATAAGGCAGTGAAGCAGTGTAGCACTGTAGCACTGTAGCAATTAAGCCAGGGGGCAGCGCGGCGGACCCGGAGCAGGTCCGGTGGAGATACACCCGGAGCCAAGCTTGGAACGCCTCTGCCAAGAATGGCCAAGCTGCCAAGTGCCAAGACTTGGCCGCTTGCGCCTTCGCTTGCGGACCCGCCCCACTTCCCAGGCTTAATCCTCTCTGGCCCCTTCCCGGCCCGGACTGATGCATTGCGCATTGTGGGCAATGGCACTATGGCAGATCCCCCACACCCTCATGCAAACCCCTCAATTCTTCCCCGCCACGGATCGATGGAACTGCTGCTCTGTCTGCTCTGCAAGGTGGCTTTGCGCTTCTTCTGGCGCACTATGCATACAATGTTACAACAGATGGTGTACAGGTTGTCTCTCGAGATGAACAAAGCTACTTCCGTCTTACTGCCTAGAGCGAGTCCTTGCGCTCCGCCTCACGCACACCCTCGAGCAGCATCTCCAGCCCCTGCTGCGGCCTGCTCGAGCTGTCCGAACGCGCGCGCATCATCTTGTCGGGGAACTGCTGCAGCTCGCGCTCGCGCGCCTCGCGCATCTCGCGGATCTCGCGCAGCTCACGCTCCTTGGCGTACTCCATCATGTCGCGCTCATCCATCGGCGGGAGGCGCTCGTCGCGCTCGCGGCCGTAGCCCATGGGGCGGGGGAGGTGGACGTGGTCGTAGTATGCGGGGCTCGACTCGTGCGATGACGCAGAGTGCGTCAGACTCGGGGTGCGCTCGGCACGCATGGCGTCGGGAGGAGGCATGGCCTGCATCTGGGCCTGGATCGTGGCCAGGTTGAGGCGCGCCTGGAGGATCGTGAGCCGCGTCTGGATGATGGCCGTCATGCGCTCCTCCTCGGCCTTCTTGGCGCCGAGGATCGACATGAGAAGATCGCGGTCGCCCTCGCCAGAGCGGCGGAACGAGTCGAGAATGCTCTTGAGCGAAGCGGGGGGAGGGGGCTGAGGATCAGCTACTGCCACAAACTTCAAGCAGAGTCATCAATACTCACCAGGTTCTCAAAGCCGTCGTCCTGAGGCTTCATCGCCGTCGGGGACTGGGACTGGTCGTGGCGCGAGCGCGGCGGCGAGGGCGGGAACTCCTCAGTGAGGATCGAAGGGGGAGGAGAGCGGCGACGGTGGTGGTGGTGGTGGTGACCGTTGCTGTGGCCGGCGTAGGGGTGGGCGCGGGAGGAGGACGACGAGTACGTCGGCGCAGGGTGCGGGCGGTGGCGGGGCTCGGTGGCAGACATTGTTTGATGTTTGCAAAGTGTTGTGTGGAGAATGCAGGAGTCGCAGGAGTGTGAGGAGATGGGTGGGGATGCATTCGAAGGGGGTGGAGATCAGGTGGTCTTATAAGCTAACTGCGTGTGCGCGGTGCCAAGCCTCAAGCTAATCTTGGCCAAGGCCAAGGATTGATTCTCGGCGTCGCAGGTCAGGCCCGGTCAGGTTGGCGGGCTCAGGTCCCAAGCCCTCAAGAGTCTCTTGGAATTGCCCGGCCTTTAGTCCGCTGCTCTTTTTGCTCTGCTTTGCATTTCCGGAATGCTGTTCCCTCTATAGAAGCTCCGACAGAGACTTGCGGCGTCTGTGGATACTAGTGGAGCTGCGACCGATACATGCATGTATGGTGGGACAGCCGCAAGAAGGAAGAAGTGGATAGCGGTGGATATTGGTGGCCCAGGAGTACCGACAAAAGAATGCCAAGACTCCGCATCGGTCCCTAGCCAATCCGTCACCGGTTCCTGATTCCTGATTTGGATACGCTTGTGTCTTCGCGAGCAGTGTTCTAGATTTAGCCCACTCACTCCTTCCCCCTTTACGTCCGGGGAAGCGTTGCACTGCTGAAGCATGAAGCACTGAAGCACTGCTACTGCGTGCCATTGCATGTATCACTTGCAGCATGCCTCCCATCAACCGCATATGATGAGGCAATAGACTCGCTGCTCACACGCCATCACCTCTCACACACACATTTGCCGAGGCTTGGAAGCTTCCATTGGATCTGGGGGAGGTCATGCGTTGCGCCATGCATCATGCATGATGTGCAGACCTGCAGACTTGAGGGATTATTCGGGGCGCGCGACATCGTTTCAATGGTCAATCATATCGCGCAATAGTGCACAGACGCAGTCTCATTCAGTCAGTCCCCGCGGTGCGCTGTGCGTATCATACACAGGGGTGCTTGGGCAAAGGCTTGGCTCGCAGTGGTGCAGTGCTTACCCCTGCGCCAGTCGCCAGCCAGAGGCCAGCCAAGGCCACGAACAAGCCAGAAAGACAAGCTCCGCGGGCGAGGCGTACCAGTGGCGTGGAGGGCCAGGAGGGGAGGGGGGCTTGGGGCATGCGCGGGCTCCACGGACCCTGACAAGGTCTTGGCAGTCGCAGAAAAGATCCGGCTCATGATTATTTTTATCATCCCCTGACTAGTTGCTGTCTGCGGTCCGAAGGCGAGGCGAAATGCTTGCTGCGCTCTCGTGCCGCCCCCTGGCTCTCCGCCGAGGTCTTGGCTGCAATCTGTGCGGGCTTGGGTCCTTGCGTCCACTCTTCGGCCAGCCTGGCCAGCCAGCAGCCAGCCAGCAGCCAGTAGTCTGGGCCAAGACCGTCCACGTTCGCGGGATTCGGCCACAATCCCGGCCAAGCTCTGGCGGCCGGTGGCCTGTGGCCTGCGGGCTCTCTTTGCTCAGCACGCAGCGTAACGATGCAACGTTAGGCCGATGGCCAGACTCACCTGCTTCCACTCGCGGAGGATGATCACTGGCCGTACTGGCTTGCCACTGCCACTATTGACCCCCGGCCGACTTGACTGCGTTCACCATACCCCGCAAACGTGCCCGCTCGCACCATCACGGTGACTGCTGCGGCCACCACTAGTCTCTCACTGCTGCTAAAATCAGCACCACCCCCGCCACCCAGAATAACTCTCGACTGCGTCAGCACCGGACTTGGGCCCTGCATGCATACCGTGTATGCCGGAGGCGAGCCGGTGCATACTATCTCAGACTTCTCCATGCTACCATCGCAGCAGCGCCGGCACGTGCAGTCACAGTGGTGCATAGCTGTTGACGACCTGGCCGTAGGATGTTTCGACTTAACCAACCGCATGCGGATGTAACAAACGTTGCAGCGTAACGAGCAAGGCACCCGGTGTGCGCGGTGTGGGTGCCGTGCATAGAGCAGGTAGGGAGCACAATGCGGTGCCCACTCGATGCCAAGCCTTGCCAAATCGCCATCCTACGGTCCGAGCGCACCTTAATTGTGCCATCTGTGTGCCGACCGTGTGCCAAACAGTGGCAGCATGTGCAGAGGGGATCGTGGTGCTTTCTTGAATGTCTTGGCAGGAGCGCGCAAAGGGGAGGCAAAGCGTGCGTGTCACAATAGCCAGTGGCCAGCGGGCGACATCGTGCCACGCACGCACACACGCAGCTCACACGAGACACACTGCGGGCGGAGCGGTGTCAACTGGAGGCTTGGCAGGGAGCGCAGCTGGCACGGTTGTATTCCAGACCTATCGCGACGCTGACTCGCTGACTCGCTGACTCGCTCTTGCTGACCAGGCAAAACGCAGGCACCGGGCTCCCCAAACCTCGCCTCTGTCGCTATCCCCTCCACCCTTGTTGGCGAATCAGCACCGTCAATACCCCCCAAGCCAATCCGCACACGCCACTGGCTCGACTGGCCCACTCCACTCCGATCAGATAAGATACCGAGCAAGCCTGCAGCCAGCACTTGGCACGCACTGACCCCTCCTTCAAGCGTGTGACTGATACGCTGGGATCTGAACGTCCGAGGCAATCTGAGGCATTTTCGGGATCTCGCCAAGCGCACCGTAGAAGACGGAGGGTACGGAGATCAGACGTAGATGGCGATATGGAGGAACGAGATCATGCGCCAAGCTGTCTGAGAGGCCGCTCGGCCGCTTCTTGCCGCCAACCGCGGCTAGGCTGACCGCAAGGCCTGCACAACTACGTTTCGGCTTGGAGCCAGAGCACGCAGAGCATCGGAGTACAGGACAGGACTGACGACAGTTCGACAGCGAGTAGCAAACGACGGTTGACGGTCAGGTGTTCACCCCTGCTTCTACGACGGTCCGAAGGCCGCGCGAATGGCATCGCGAGCCTCTCGAGCTCTAAGCGCCAAGAGCGCTCTTGGTCCAGCTGTCACGGTTGCGGGGTAGTCAGCGGTCACAACAGCTGAGTCGCCACCCTCGCTGCACGCTGCGCACGCTGCGCCGCCGCCTTGGCCGCAGTGGCGACACACTCGGACTTGGCAGACGAGGCCAAGCCAGCCCAAGCGTCCCAAGCGCCCACGATCTGGGCGATCAGGACTGGGCCGGTATTCGCGTCCGTGGCTGGCCATGGCTGGCTTGAGGGCTTGGCGCGGATTGACGATTGGCGGATTGGTGGGATTGGCATGCCGCGGGTCTTGGAATGGATGCTGGGCGTGCACATGACGTGGGATCGCAAGTGCTTGGCTCTT